GGGGGAGGAGGTAAAACATGCCTTGTCAATGGCTGGGCCTGATATCTGGAGGCCGATCACAAACCCGATACCGAGCGAGATGTAGTTGAGACTAGCACGCCCAGGCTCCTGGTCATACTTATCCTTCCATACGGCAGGAAAGGATGCAAGCCTGTGCCGGCATGTTAGCATCCATCGATAGCAGCGCGGTCCATCTTCCCAAGCCCGACTCACACGAGGTACATCAGCCCGTACAGATAGCCGCGGTAGAGGCCTGTTATCTGGATCGTGGGTTGGGTGGTCAGCATGATCAGGGGCCGCACGATGCTCTTCCTGAAGAGAGCCGCCCAGGTCCTGTTGGCTGCCTCGACCTCGGTGAGGTAGTTCTTGTTGCCTGTCGACCGCCTCAGCCGGCGGGCTTTCTTGGCTAGGATGGCAGGGCGATACGTCTCGGGAAGGAAGAACAAGGCCAAGACCTGGACCACAGCATCGAGGATGGAGATTGCCCAGAAGATCCATCGCCAACTTATGTACTGGGTGAGATAGCCACCGGCTAGCAAGAGGTGGGGTCAGCAAGTACACAGAGTCCTCTCCCTGGCTGTCTACCGGCAGGAGATGAAGTCTTACCGATCGGTCCGATGACGGGACCTAGAAACGGCGCGAGGCTGTAGATGGCCACGGCGCCTCCTCGCTCGTCTGCGGACCAGCAGTCGCTGAGGACGCCCGATCCGATCTGCAGGAGATTGTCAGTGTCGGTTGTCTGTTGCCGGCGAGAGGGTGCGGGTGGTTCGTGGTCGTGTCGGGTGGGCAGGAGAGAAGACGACATACTGCTTGGGGCGCGGCACCGCCGAGACCGCTCAGGAAGCGAAAGACCATGATCTCCGCCTTGGTCTTCGAAAACCCGCACACTGTATTGAACAGCAGAAAGACCATGTTGGACGACTGCAAGACGACGACCCGCCCGTACATCTCGGACAGCGGTGCGATGATGAACGGACCTATTGCGTAAGCCAGCAGGAATATAGACATGATGAGATTTGTCTCGAAGCCCGAGGTCCCGAACTCGTCTTCGAGGTCGGGGAGAGACGGCGACAGCATGGTGGAGGCTATAGGCGAGACGAAGGTGAAGCTCGAGACGAGGATCGTGGCCGTCCACTTGGCACGTCTGGACCAATTCAGGGGGTTGGCCGGGTCATCAGGTCCGTCAAAGGTCACCTATCCATCAAGGGGGGCGAGGAGAGGCGGGTCAGCAGAGAATCTCGGACGGTCGGGATACAACCTAACCTCTCTGTAGGGATCTTACGAGATTGTCCTCGGCGGAAAGGGCAGATTCAACATCTTCGCGGGACGGGATGCTCTGATAATCGTCGTCATGAGAATCGTCATCGTGAGAATCGTCATCGTGAGAGTCAGGGCCAGGTCTCGCCACGGGATCTGCATCGCTGCATCGACGCTCTGTGGCGCGCAACATTATTGCCTCGTACCCCACGGTAGCCGTCGCCATCCTGCTGAGCTACACGACCAAGACCTGCCGATCGTCCAAGCTGTCGAGCAAGCTGACGGAGGAGAAGGATTTTGTGCAGCGGCCAATGAGACTGGGCTGACTCGAAAGGGGGAAAGGAGGACGGGAAGATGGGACAGGATAGAGAAAGGGGGAGATCGGGGATCAGCAGACAGATGCAAGTAGTCTGTGACTATAAATGGCCGCGGTGGGAACAGGAGCTGTGAATAAGATCAGAGGTAGAGGGTAAACATATAGGGATGACTCTGTCGAATTCACGCCGTCTTGGGTTCTCGGGTTCTTCCAATGCAGGCATCACTAGTATTGAACCTGGTCGCGTGCACCGATACTTATTCTAGGTCGGGCAATGATGGGCTTTGCGAGATCCATGGCAGAGGACATGATTAGCAACATGCTGGCTTGTGGTGGTTAAGCGCCTTGTGCATCTTAGTCTTGTTCTTTCTCTCTCTGTTTTGTTCTTTAAAAAATAAAGAAAAGAAAAACCGTTGCTTCGCCTCCCTAGCCTCACTCGCTCTCCTTGGGCGAAACCTCGTCTTCCGGCTCACCTTGCTGCTTCTCTCTCTCTCGCGCGCGCGCGCGCATGCGCTCTCTCATTTCCTCAGCAGAGCAGGACAACGTGGCGGTGAAACCTGCGCCTCCCAGGCTAGATACATCGACGGTCTCTTGGACGACCCGAGGGGCTGTCGTCCAAGACGCCATATGAGGCTGAGACAAGTCTCTTCAAATGTTAAGGATAACGATGCCAGGAGATAGTCGAGACTCACTGGAAGACCGATCGCGAGGGTGGGTCTACAAGGTGCATCTGGCTCGTATCACCATTGCTGATCTTCCGTACTGACGAGTGTATCCGTATTCTCGGAAAGGGGGGAAAAGAAAGGTGTGGTCCTGAAAACTACGGCACTGGAGATGGGCGGGCGTATCAAAAACCTTGAAAACCATAAAAAGACCACTGCCAAGTAATGGACCGGGGTATAATGTGGAGTGGCTGGGTGCAGTAGGCGATCTGGCGAGCTACATGACTGGGTCATATATATAGCAACGGCCCAACCAAAGACTAGCACACGCATCGCGGGGTCTCTGGTGTACATAGCTGACAACTGATGGGCGAGAGGAACTAATAATAGGATAGAGACTAGAGGAAAGAGAAGGGGGCGAGGATAGAAAAAAGAAAGGCGTGGGTGGGGGGTCCCTTGCCAATGCCACTTTCAGCCCAACCACGTGAGTTCATCCGTAGCGACGGATAGATCGTCCAAAGTATCTAGATCTCGTCGTCTGTCGCACAGCAGGGGTTATGGCTCTACTGCGTAGCTCATGGCGGGGATGGCAGTGTCCCATCTGCCCATCCAGGGCTCGAAGTGGAAGCAGGTCGCGCGACGCCAAGGCATTCGCTGGCGACCAGCTATGGCTGACTCCGTAGAGGCCGGAGAGCGGAAGACCGCATGGCGGACGTAGACGTGCCCGCGATGACCTACCGGTCTTCTGCTTCTGCTGTGGCTGAGCCGGCATGGGCCACTTCCATTGGGTGCTCAGGGGCGCGAGGGCTGCCGGTGATATCCGTTCGACTCCAAGATAGCAAGATTTCGTGCGTAGCATGGCGATAGCGGAGGGCATGTGTCGAGGTCGCTCCTGGTTGGCTTCTACCCTCCGCCTCCTTTCCTCCTCCTCTGGCCTTCTCTTGCCCTTGACGTCAACTCGTGGACGAGCCTGTTTCCCCTCTTATTTCCTGTCCGTTTCCCAAGGCCTGTTCCCTTGGTATCTCGTGCACGCCTTCGTGGCGTTGTGGCACAATGTATCCGGTGGAATCTAGCGGCTATGTATTGGGCGACGCGATGAGATGTCATCGTTTCCCGCTGCTATTCTGGTCCTCGTCAGTCGGCGTCGTCTTCGTTGCTCTTCGCCATCCTCTGCATTGTATAAGAAGCCCCTCCTCTTCCTCATTCTTCTCCTTTTCTCTCCCTACTCTCCATCCCAACGATTCCAAGCCTTGATATATATAAGCACACTCACTCCCTGACATTCCCGTCTTCCTTTACTCGTCCAAGGAATCCATACCTTTGATACACCCACGCCTCAGGCCACCCATCCTGTGCCCGTCACCCTTTCACCGAGCCATCATCAACCATGGTCATCACTGCAACGGGCGACCGTATGCGGATCTTGGTGTGTCCCTCGGGCTTCAAGGGCAGTCTCCAACCTGACGTTGCCGCCGACTGTATAGAGGCCGGCATCCTACGTGTAGAGCCCAATGCGTCTGTGCACAAGGTGCCTCTCGTTGACGGCGGGGAGGGCTTCACCCGAGCCTTGGTGGCCGCCACGCAGGGTTCCATGCACCCCGTCACCGTTTCTGGCCCTGTCGGGGATCCCGTCGACTCTTACTTCGGCTTCCTAGGTCAGAAGTCTGTGCGGACAGAGGTCAAGACGGCCGTCATAGAGATGGCTGCCGCCGCCGGCCTGAGCCTTGTCCCCTCTGCTTGCCGGGACCCCGGCATCACTACCACCTATGGCGTCGGAGAGCTGATCCTTGCCGCCATCGACGCCGGCGCGCAGCGAGTCCTGGTCGGCTGCGGTGACTCGGGAACCTGTGACGGCGGTGCTGGCATGCTGCAAGCACTCGGCGCCCGTCTCCTGGACCGAGACGGCAACGACCTGCCCACAGCGCAGGGCGGCGAGTCCTTGGTACGGCTCGCATCGATCGACTTCGCCGGTCTTGACCCGAGGGTCCGCAGCGTGTCCATCTCCGCCGCCGTCAACTGGCACAACGTCCTCTGCGGCCGCAAGGGCGTAGCGCATGTCTTTGGCCCGCAGAAGGGCGCCACCCCTCTCCAGGTCGAGCGTCTGTCCTTGGCTATGGATGCCCTCGCTCGCGTTGCCGGCCCTATCCTGAAGGATTCCAATGTCGGACTCTCACCTGGGAGTGGTGCCTCAGGTGGGCTCGGTGTTGGCCTGCGGCTGATAGGCACCACTCTGAGGCCGAGGTATGACCTGGTCATGGAGTATCTGTCTCTAGATGGAATCTTTGACCACTGTGACCTCGTCCTCACAGCCGAAGGCGGCTTGGACAACCAGACGCCCATGGGGAAGATCCCTGGAGAGATTGCCCGCCTGGCCAAGAAGAACAACCTGCCTGTCATTGCGATCGCAGGTACGATCGGGACCGGCGCCAGGGTCAACTACGATATTGGCATCGACGCCTTTGCGTGTATCCTACAACGGCCAACAACGCTCGAGGACGCTGTCAAGGAAGCGGAACGGTTGACTACGGAGAGTGCTGAGTCGGTCATGCGGCTGGTATCCATCGGTCGCATACTAGGGATCAGAAGCCCCTTCACGCAGGTGAAGACGATCTGATGCCAAGAGTGAGAAGACTTGGCGTGGGTATATTCCCGTATATGTATGTACCTTGTCTTCAAGGCCTCTTGGAGGATCTCGCGGGGAGTGGAGCAAGGAAGACATCATGTGTGTAAGTGTTAGACAAGGGGTCTGCTTAGGTAAGGGGGGGTTATGAGATAATTGATAAGATCTGCCAGATGATAGCGAGATAGTGACGAAGTAGCAATGAAGGCGCGATATAGCGTGTGATGTGTAATGTCTATTAATCGTTACCCCCCCTCCTTCCTCAAAGGCTCAATTAAGGAAGGAGACTTCTTACATGACGTTCCTTAGTAGATGTGTTCCACTTTTTTCGTAGCCCCTATTAGCAGGTCCTGGCACCTTAGCCCTAGAATACCAGTCCTAACAACGTTCTTTCCACATAGTGATCAGCTTAGGAGAAATGAGCAGTCGACTTTTCTTTAGATCTTGAGTCGAGGATATTGATAATATAGATAGAATACTATAATAAATACAATTTACAGTCCATTTCTTATTCCACAATGAGTGACGCATATCGTCCGCTTATATCGTCACACAAAAAGAAGGATGCTCGTCCCTTTTTGGTATGTCTTGTGGTATGCCGATGGTCGATGTATGTTCTTAGTTGGGTGTTTAAAGGGACAGATCCGACGTTATCCCGCTTACCTAAGCTATAGATGAAAACACAGTAAAAGTATGACAAAGCATCTAGATACTATGGACGACACATTGGTGAGTGGCGGACGATTGCCTGTCACGGCCAGTCCGACGTGCGGCCTGAACATGCGGTCCAGATCACGTGCCGCACAGGGAGCCCCACCTTTTCATTGTTGCTTAGTTCGATATCCTCTACCTGTCTCGCCGATATAAAACATCACGTCTATCTACCCTGTAGCATAGATTTGATCCTAACGACACAGTCCGTTGCTAGGTGCAATGTATTGTTATAGTCATACTGCACGCACACTGCACCATAGCCTAGATGTTTCTCCAAAGATGCCATCATGGCGCACAAGTGCACTTATCCTTCTTTTCATTCTTTCCGAGTGTAGGCGTGTTCTCCCCCTCCTTCAGCACGAACCCGTTTTCTTTTTATGTTGGTTGAAGTTAGCCGCCAAAGGACGTTGGTACAGTGGACTTTAGAAGGTACACGACGATGACCCTGGTGGTTTCCTCCCGTATCACTAGATTATTCTTGCGCAATTCAAGGATTTTTCCTTTTTCCTTTTTTCTCCCTGGCCTGCCTGGTCTGCACACGGGAACAGCTATGTCTTGTGTCTACATGCAATCTCTTGTCTTATCTTGCAATGATGACGAAGACGATAACAATCATTACTTTAAAAGTTGTCGGGCAGCAAGGTCTGACGACATGAGAGATATTATTTTCTCAATGAGAAGGCATAGATAGGTAGTATATCGGTTTTCGACAAGTCCCAGATCACTACATGCTATTCCTACCAGTACGAGTACATGTAGCCCATGCCCATAGAGGATCCGGATAAGAAAGCAGCACGTGTTATTGGTGTTTTAGTATGGCCCTCCCACTCCGTCCACTCCCATCCCACCTCGAAGCGCCCGCTCTTCAAAAAGTTGGCGGAGGGGGGGATTTTGAGGGACTGAGAGGGGGAGGAGGAGGGGGAAAGATGTACGTGTATGTGTTTCCATTTTCATGGGTTTTTTTATCAATATATATATATATATTTATATATATATATATATAGCTTTCCGTTGCTCTTCTTTACCTTTCTTGGCGGATATGCATTGCATTATTCCTGGTTCGTGACATATTGGGCGAAAACCGGAGGGATAGGTGGGGTGGTTTGGTGTGATGTGAATGTGTGTGTGTGTTGGATGAGGGGCGATTTTTCTTTCTGTGATGAGAAAACATGACATATATGAGGGGTTGAACTTGTTCTCTTCCCTTCCGTCGGCTTCTCTTATGATTGATGTTTTTCTATGTATATCACGAGGTATTTGGTATGGCAGAAGACAAGAAGGAGCATATGAGAAGCAAAGTAAAAAGGAAGAAGGGAAGAAGAATGAAGAGAAAAAAAAGATGAGAGTACCGTGATGATGATACCGCATGGTTCAAGGTCGTACTTCTGAGCCTGTACTTGCTTGTCTGTAACCTGGACTCTACATCTAAATATATACGGAGTAATACCCTTCCTGTATGAAGGCGTCATGGTACTGACACTTCTAACCAACAGGGTCAAGGCTGGATAAATATTACGCCGCAGTTACAGCTTTCTCTTCTTCTCTGCTGTACGGTGCGGATGCGGGTGCGGGTACGGGTGCAGTGCGTCCTCAATGCGTCCTCATGATGCAGGTTGTTTCCACATTGGATGGGTGTACACGCGCCACCGGACAGGTCAGCAGGGAATCGAGAGAGTACGAGTATTGCTCAACCGTTGAACTGATGTATACACTTCTCGGACCTGTAGAGTGTGAGTATTATATGTAGGAGTCATACGTGAACATGTACAACTGCCGTCAAGCTAACATGTTCTGCGAAGGGGAATCTCGCTTTCAATGAACACAGGGTAGGCCGGAAAGTAGACGATGCGGAGAAGGGAGTTACTACATGTATTATATTCCATCATCATTGTTATACAATGTCATTATTCGGATAAGACGGGGAGAAGTGTTATATCAGGCGTGGATCTGTCTATCTAGCGGGCCTTTTGTCTCTGCTATTGTCATTTTCCCTCTCTTCTTTTCTTTTAATCTTTCCTTCATATAATGGATATCATGGAAAAAGCCTTTACGAGTGAATGAATGGATGCCTGTGATGGACATTGTTGTCTGCCTGCCATCGTACACGTTACAGGCGCTAAAAACTCATGCGTGAAAAAAAAAAAAAGAGAAAAGAAAGGAAGAAACCAAACAAAACTGCGAAGTCGGACGCAGTCTTGAACTAGTCCAAGCACCCATTTTTTTTTGACGAGGTGCCAACCCATGGGGATCCTATAGAGGGGGAGGAGAAGGAGAAAGGGGGAAAAAAAGAAAAAAAGAAAATCTACAGCAGGTGGGTAGGTGGTATAGGAGGGCCCTGGAGGGGCGAGGAGGGAGGGGGAAGGAGCAGGCGGGGTAAATTCCCAAGTCGGATATTGCGTGTCAGCGGCATCTAAGAGTCATCACAAGGTTCGATATTATTGTCCGAATTGTCTGGGTGGTATTGATTGATATTAGGATTAGCAGTACAGAAGTACTGTACGGTGTGATATCACAGGTGTATGTACATGTCGCCACCTGTCAGCAAGGAAACAACAGGTAGAAAAGAAAGAGTCATCGTGATGGACAGGAATAGGCAAGAACAGCAAGGACAACGACCACGACAGACAGTCGTCGACTCTGTCGTAGGACCCTGAAAATCCGACACGCAAAACCTTGCATCGCTGTCATGACCCCGCTGCCCTGCACCGTCCTTCTTTCCCTCTCTCCGGGTGGAAGAAACATTGGGGGGGTTCATTATTGACACCAATACCATCGCAAGGCACCGCGGTCTACCATTACTAGGTAATATTACTCGTATTACGGTGTAGAGGCACTGAATAGTACCGAGCTGTACGGGCGGGAACATGTTCCAGCCAAAAGACTCTCGTATCAGTAGACCGAGCCCTCATCGAAGTTGGTCTCGGTGCGTAGGAAGTGCATCGACGGCGTCACAGGCGAAAATTCGTCAGAGGTTGAATTACGCCATTCTCCTTCTCTCTTTCTTTCTCTCTTTTTTTTTTTTTTTTTTTTCTTTTTTTTTTTTCCCCTCGATCCCCCCCTCTCTTCTTCTTCAACCCCCCCCCCTTCCTAATTGTTAATCCACCTCCTATTGTCCACTCTTCTTTCAAGTAATATCGGTTCTGTATAGTCTACAAGAGAGTGAACTGTACCATGATGAGGCATTTCTCCCCTCGCTAGACGCACACGGAGAAACCCCCACTCAACCTACGGTCTGACGAGAGTAACTTTGACGAATGTCGAATGTCACGTGTCTAGAATTCGTTCCCCCATATGGATCTAGATGGGGCCAGTCAGTCTATGGGGAATAAAGAGAGATTCTCTGTAAGTGTAAGTTTCAAGGATAAAATTGATTACAGGCATAATACTACGTCTTTCGATATTCAAGATGCTAGTACGGAATATCAAGGTAGTCCGTAGACACACAGATAATAATGATATCTCCCTACTCCGCGAGATGTGGCTTGTCGCATTAGTAATACGCTGCGGCAACCGCGACCGGACAATGTGTGGAAAAGAATAGGTGGTTGATGTTCCCCTGTATCCGGTACCCTTTACTGAATACGACTGAGGGTTTTCCTTGATGTTCGGATCAGCGGGGATTCGAGGACCCTGATTGGATGGCGGGTAAGAACCCTCGAGTGTATCGAGAAGAAAGGAGAAGAAGCGGAAAAAAAAAAACAGTCTTTTTTATTATTATTCCTTTCTTCTTTTTCTTCCCTTATTATTCTTTGGCTTGAATCCTATTGGACAGTCCCCGACTCTCTCGCCTCTGTAGTAGGCACAGGCGAGTAAACGACTACGAGTAAAAAGTTCAATGGATAATTGTCTTGTCTCCGTAATGTTCTAGCGCAGCCTCCTCTTACGGAGCCTATCTGTTTTCGTACTAAGAAGTAGAGTACAGGTACGTAGAATACGGACTCATCATCTTCAGACACGAACCCAACGGAAGGAGAACACAGAGAGAGTGAAAGGCAAGAGAAAAAAAACAGAGAGGCTGTCAAGATACACACGCACACATAAAGTGTCCTCACATCATGTGACCCCAAAGGTGTGATATGTGGCCTGGCTTTTGCTGCCTTGCAACTCCCAACAAGGCGACGTGTAGGCGCTTCGGTAAGTACGGAGCGTCGCCGACTGCTTTTGATTGGAAACTAATACCTGTACGAGTACGGAGTCTCAGTCTTCGATACGACTTGCATATTCTTTACCTCTCTCTCTCACTTCTCTCTACACAACCTGTTGACAATATGACTTCTTCTCGCCATCCAAAGATGTATCCAGTATCCACTCGGATAGATATGACTGGGTGTACACACTGGAAAGCAAAAAGAGGTCGGTGGCCCATGGGCGTGGGTTGGGTGGCGCGTTTGTTGTTGTTGGGGGGGGGGGGAAGGGATTGACGTATCTCAATGGGCAAGAATTCAGTGGCGGGTTACCTGCCAACGTCATACTGCTTCGCTCTGTACAAGGTGTGCGCATGCAACCCCCGTGGTATTGGTACAGAGGTACAGTGTACTCCATAAGCTGTAGGTGGTAAATTACGACGTATCATTACTCGTACTTTTATTCCTCTCTGTCTCTGTCTCTGTCTCTCTCTTCTCTCCCTCTCTTCCTCTGGTGTGTCCATCGGACCTTGGTACAGGTAAGAAAGCGATGCCCCTTGCCGCCACCACCGTCAACGACAGGGTTAAAGAGGTCAGAGGTGAAAGAGCGCTATTTATATGTACGAGTATCATACCACACATGTACGAGTACCACGTATTGATTTTTGGTGACCCCTTTCTGCTTTTTCTTTCCAGGCATGCAGATACGTAGTGAAGAGCCTGAGAATACAGGCAGTAAGTACGTAGTATTATTACTATTGATATAGGAGCGTCCCGGTCACTCTCAGTGTGCATCGTAAATATACTGCCCGCTCTCCTCTGTCTTGGGTAGAAGCTCTCGGAGATGTCAGCTGGGCAACACGGAAAGAGCAGGTGCGTCGAAATCATCTAACAGGGCTGTCTGCTCCTTCCCACTCTCTCTGGCAGGTCAAACAGACACAGAATGAACTTTCCCTAAGCCATGGAGCCTGGAGGCCAAGACGGCTTGGTGGAGCGCTGTAATAAACTGATACAGGGCCCCCCCTTAGGCTCTAGCAGGGAATGGACGCGGTACATTCCATCCATCCATGAAGGGGGGGGGGGGAGACTGTCCCTTTCAGAAACTTACTTCAGGGACGGGACACGCAACCTACCGGTACGATATATTACGAGTATGTAATATTACTACTGTTAGGTATTGCTCCGTACCGTACTAATAATGGACAGGTGTATTATTATCTCCTGCGCCATGAGGGGGGGAGACCCTTCCACACATTGGGACGCCGAGGATTTCTTACTGGTACTGAGTCGTACAGATTACATGGAGCGTAAAATTGCTAGAGACATGTAATAAATTACGGGGTTGAAGGGTAATTTACCAGGACGGGGGAATAACAGAGACAACAACAGCAACAACAGCAACAAAAATAATAATAACAACAACAACAACAACAACAACAACAACAGCGCGGCATGCGCCTGTGTTTTGTGTGTGCCTGTGGGAGAGTAATGCTAATAATGTATGGTATGATTTTCATGCTGGTAATATTCTTCATGCTCACCCCGTCCGTCATTCTCGTCGCCATCCTCCCCACCCTGGAGTGGTAATAGGTGCCAAGAATTGATGCCGATTGAGACTATCTGGCCGTACATGTATTGAGCAATAGCACGCAGGAGTGAAGAGGAACCCATGTAACATACTCTCGTACGGTACGGATAGGCATACGAAGGAAAACCCTGTGCGAGTACGGTATTACCACGAGTACATAATACACTCTGTAATAAGTATACTCTCGAGTTCTGTGCAGGGAAAAGTATGGGGAGTAAAAATAGATCTGGTACTCACATCCGTACGAGTACATACGAGGATATAATATGTACAATGCCTTGGAGACTATGGAATTACGGATGACAGTACGTACCGGACCGCGGGCACTGCTTGCTGTGGATACAGGGCTCACTTACTGTACGATACTCCATACTTACCGTATTAACCCCGAGACCACCGTCCAGAGCCTAGACCACCCCCGGAGCAGCCAAGGCAGCATCAACCATCCACCACACACCACGGTACGAGCATTACAGTTTTCTCTCTCCCAATACCTCTCTCTTCTCCCTCCAGTAAGAATATTACATGCTAGTGCTGGTAGCCAATAGTAGTACTGGTATTAGGTAGTACTTGAGAAGTGAAAGGCACCGTAATAGGCGATAGTAGTGAGATCTGAGTGGTTGCGAGTCGTACGAGTACGGACACTTGTACTCCATCATGTACAGTCACTCGTATCGTCATTCGTAACCTGAAAAGGCAAACTGAAAAGGCAGCCTGGAGAGGGTAGACTGGAAGAGGAGGGTAGACTAGAAGAGGAGGGTAAACTGGAGAGAGGGTAACCTGGAGAGGGTAACCTGGAGAGGATAACCTGGAAAGTAGCCGGAAAGGTACGAGTACTCGTACCGTAACGCTACAGTACCCGTACACGCAACGCCAGTCGCTCTTTCCCAAACCACCCGACCACCAGACCAAAGTCCACCCACCCCCTGGTGCCCACCGCCCAAACGCCCCTAGCCAGTCCCAACCGGTCCCAACCAGTCCACTGCCTCAGACGCCGTCCCCAGGTGTCCACCACACACACCAGCTTTTTTTTCTCTCTCTCGCTCCCGCCCCAGTCTCTCCCTCCCCCCCCTTCTAGGCTCTCTCCCTCTCTCTGTGCCCATCAACTTCGCCGCCGCCCATCCTGCGCCTGCAGAGACCCGTTTCCACGCAGCAGACGCTAAGGAGGAGGAAGAGGGCTCATCATCTTTCACCTCGTTTCTGCATCCTTTTCTCTCTCTCTCTTCTTCCTTCTTTGGCCTCCTCTTTCTCTTTTTTTTCCTCCTCCACCCCCATCCTCTCTCTCTCCCCTCCGCCCTCCCCCCCTTCTCCTATTCTCTCCTACCAACCCGACAAGAAGACGAAATACCTTGAATCCGTCAAGTCGGGTCAACGGACATTTCTCTTTTTTACTTTTATCCTTGTCCCGTTTGACTACCGGATAAAGGTTCATCTCTTTTTTATCCTTCTTTCCATCTCTCGTGTGTAATATCTCCCGCTTGAGAGACAGACAACATAAACCCTCCGCTTTCTTACTCACGCCTATGCAATAACGTCTAGAGGAAAAAAAACCCTGCTTTTTTTTTCCTTTTTGCATCTGCATGTATATGAAGTGGCTGTTCTTCTCTCCCTGTTCGACGACCCTTTGAACCTTTTCTTTCCCTTTTGGTGAGTTTCCCCAACCTTGGCCACTTTGCCTCCGCGCTGCTGTTTTGCCTCTTCCCGACAAAATCCCAGAGTTTACTACACCTCCGACATCAGAATATCCCTCTAATATAAGTACGACTGCAGACGCCTTTCTTCTTTCTTCAAAAAAACCAGTCCTCCAACGCAGGAAGACATACATCAACGCCTCCTCTGTATCCTTTGACTGAATACCCGACGACTTCTTCCCCTTACGTTGCGACACGGGTGCGGCATCACTACACGACGCAACCCTCGATTCGATAATTAAGAGAACCCCTCTTCTGTCTACTCATCACGGTATAATCGGGTATTGTTAAATGGCTCGGCAGCTTGACTAAAGGTCGACTGGTCTACTCGCTCCAGCTGTTCTCAGCCCTGACCTTTTCTACCTTTCTTCCCATCCTCGCCGTCAGTTGTCTTGAGACGTCCCCCCATCCGCAGAGCCTACGTTCTACTGGTGGCTGAACACCTCAGGACTCGACGCACGTCCTCGGTTCGGCAAAGGTTCTTGCAGAGCTCTTTGTCGGTCCCCCCCTCCGTTCTTCATCATGCCGGGCGGCGTGTGTGCCGTCCTCGACTACGAGGTCGAGGCCATGGCTGAGTATGTTGCCGAGATGGCCACCCGCGTCATCACCCCCGAGGCCCCCATCACCTCGGCCTTCCGCAAGTTCGTGTCGCAGATCCTCACCTCGACCCGTCTGCCAAGCACCACCATCCTCCTAGGCATGAACTACCTCGCCAAGAGGATCAACACTATGAAGAGCCAAGGTCCCTACAAGGCCTCCGAGGGCCAGGTGTGGCGCTACCTCACCGTATCGCTCCTCCTGGGAAGCAAGTTTCTGGATGACAACACCTTTCAGAACCGCTCCTGGTCCGAGGTCAGCGGAATACCCGTCGCCGAGCTCAACTCGCTCGAGTTTGAGTGGGTCCAGTCCATGAATTGGCGCCTCTATGTCAACCTCGACAAGAGCAAGGACTACCAGGCGTGGCTCGAAAACTGGCGTGAGTGGCAGCAGCTCAAGAAGCGCCAAGCCCAGGCCGGCAGGGACAAGCTCTCGTCCGTCCTGCCCGCCATCAACACCGACCTCGCCCGCTACAGCAGCAGCCGCCGCTCCCCTCACTCTCGCTACCTCCAGGATCAGGTCGCCGAGTACGAGCGCTACGAGTCTCTCAAGCTTCACCAGCAGCAACCGCACCACCACCACCACCACCACCACCAGGTCTTCCACCATCAGGATGTGTCCGCCTGGACTCACAACCCTTGGAATGCTGCTCCTCTGACGCCTCCCGACTCGGGTTACGGCACACCCGATGGCTACGGATTGTCTGCCACGTCTAGCAACGCTAGGTACAACGACTGGTTCGCCCAGGCCGCAGCCTGCTACAGCAGCAACGCCAACAACCTCGGACGCTACTCGCACGCCCCTGCGCCGAACCCATTCTACCAGGGCCGTCAGTCTCACTATGTCCACGGCTATGGCTACGGTCACCACCATGGCTGGGAGCACGGCCTGGCCGAGTGTAGCTGTCCCAACTGCGTCAGCCCCATGAAGCAGGCTCCCTATTTTGCGACCCACTCCTATGGCCAGACGGTCATGGGCTGACGACTTTTACTTCTCTTCTGGTGAACATTCTTTCTTCTCTTTCATTCGCTTCACTTCACCAACCTTGACCAACAAAAGTTTTTTTTCTTAATTGTTTTTTTTAACGAAATTGTTCTTGGAACATGGATACACAAAAGATGGATTTCTGGGTTTTGACGGACGCAACTTTTTTTTTTCGACCATTATTCTTTTTTTCTCGACTTTTTCCTTTTTCTTTTTACACAGGCCGGGACTACGATACGCATTTCAGATACCCCCCCCTATCGGCATGAAGGAGTTGTTGTCAACAATGGAAGGTTCAAGAGAGAGAACCATGTCAAGCCGTCGGTCCGTGGATATTGATCCCTACTACGGGTGATGCCACATTACGAACTCGCGTCCCACGGCTTTATTGTTTTATTTTTTTCAAGGAAGGCGTCTTTGTTTCTCCCATTTTCCCCCGCGTTCGGGTATATACACCCCTTTTTTTTATTCTACCTATGTGGACCATTGGTACATGCACAAAAGGTCACCCGGCGTTTCGATGTTTTACTTCTATTGATTCCAGTTTTCGTTTTTTTCTTATGTTTTTTTTCTACGAATCATTTCTTACGCCCCCCTTTTCCCTTTTCTTGCCCGATAGACTTTTTCTAAATTTTTTTTCTTTGTTTGGTTTCCTGCTACGTCAAAGTGTCGGGCAGCAGCATCTTCTTTGAGGGCATTCATTTCTTATATTCTTCTACTTGCCTACGAGGCAGGAGACACTCGGATTGCGGAGCACAGAGGATGATGACAAACTGCATCAGGGAAAAACGAAATCAGATCCATCCTCATTCGACGCTGCCTGTGTCGTCTGTCCAACATGTTCGACTGTCTTGTGTGGCCTGTGATGCAAGTCACGTCAGGCAAGTTTCCGGCTTCGCGGCCTTTTTTCTCTTTTTTTTGCTTTCTTGCTATGAACTATACGACTACGCAACACATTTCAGAAAAAAAAACGTCTTATCCTCTTTCACAACCAGTATACACATTTTATATCTCTTGTTTAGGTGGTTATCATTCTTACGCACCACCAACCTCTTGCCGTCCCCGTCTCCGTTGAAAGGTCGAGACAGGAAGATGGCAAGAGCAAAAAAAGATTGGGGCATCATGATTGGGGTGCATTGCATTATTTTAGCGATCCTTTTCTTCTCCTTTTTTTTCGTTCCCCTTTCTCTTCCTCAGCAGAAGGAATGAGCTTTATGCTTTTTTTTTTTTTTTGTCTGTCTTTTACTTTCCTCCCCCTTTAACAAACAGATTGTCTTTTCACAATCCCCATTGATCGATATCAGTCCTGGCCTTGTCAGTTCCTGTTTGGTCAAAGAATAAATAGTTCCATCAAGAGTTACTGTTAAAGAAACCTTGTTAAGAGACCTGGAGAGTCCGCGGGAGTCCTTGTGAAGAGGCCTTGTTTGCTAAGAGATATTGTTAAAGAGTGCATTGTCGAGGCCTTGTTGAAAAGGTAATCTGGAGACTATTAAGAGTCCCGGAAAGAGAACAGAACATGATGTGTTGAGTGGATAGATATCTCGCACCTGGTACGCTCTTCATAAAGAACCAAAGAATCAGAGGATCAGAAAAGATTTCAGATTACATTGAGATATCTTGACGATGATGACGTATTTTGTGCTGTGATGTTGGGTTTGGCGTGCTTTGATGGTTTTGGTGTGATGGTGACGGTGGTGACGGTAAAAATTCGGTTGTTGGTGCGAGTAAAAAAGCGAGTACAAAAGAAGGGAAACAGAAGGTCGTGTTCCCTGTCCTGTCCCGTCATGGGATGATCTCAACCAGATCTTCAAACTCGCATTTTCATTCACTCACACCAAGTCGTTGTTTACTTTTGCGTGGTGTCTTATTTCTCAATTTGGACACACGCACACGCAGATATAATCACTACTAGTACTTGCTAATTCTTCTATACTGGTCGGAAGTTTTGAAGATACCAAGCAAAAAAAACAAAACACAAAACACCAGAAACAAAAAAAAGAAACAGAAACAAAGAAAAAAAATGTCGAGATTCGTATCGGGTGGTACAATCGGAACGGGAGATTCGTCGGCCCCGGAAGGAGCATCATCGTCATCGGCATCAGTACAAGCAAAAGGGTCAGGGCCAGGGTTTGGGTCAGTGTCAGTGTCGACGGCATCAGCATCAGCATCAGCATCAGCATCGGCATCGGCATCGGCATCGGCACAAGACGTCAGATCTAGTAAATTGGCGGAATGGGAGGCCGTTCAGAAGGAATTAGATGCCGAGAGGAGTCGTCGCGAGGAGGCTAGGAGGAAGGCGGCTATGGGGGAGGAGAAGAGTTTATATGAGATTCTTCAAGAGAATAAGGGTAAGGTGTTCTTTTATTTTTATTCTCATTGTGATTTTTTTTTTTCCCTTTGTGTGTCTCGCCACACAAGCACTCTTCCCATATTGAACCCCCCTCTCTTTATGTTTTCTCTCTCTCTCTCTCTCTCCCCGTCTGTCTCCCTCACATGCTAACTGGAAAAAAAACCAGCCGCAAAACAAGCAGCATTCGAGGAACAGAACAAGATCAAGAACCAGTTCAGAGCACTAGACGATGACGAGATCGACTTCCTAGAAGAGGTACGCGAGAAGAAGAGACGAGAGGAGGAGAGGGCGAAGAGAGAGGTGGACGAGGGGATCAGAGCTTTCAGGAAGCAGCAGGAGCTCGAGAAGGCTGCCGGCCGAGGCGCAGGCGCAGGCGCAGGCGGAGAGGGGAACGGCGAAAGCTGGGAGGTTGGGAGGAAGAGGAAGCGTCTTGCTAGGGAGAGGGAGATTGTCAAGAGGAAGGGGAGGGTGGAGGGTCAGAGGGAAGGGACTAGGAAAGGAGAAGATGAGCAAGCTGAAGAAGAAGGAGAAGGAGAGGGAGAGGGAGAAGAAGGAGAAAAAGAGGACGGGAGAGAGTTGAAGAAACAAGGGGGAGAGAACAAGGTCAAGAGACCAAGTCTCCTTGTAGACTACGGTTCCGACAGTGATTGATTTGAATATAAACATTCATGACTTGTAAATATGGCTTTTTATATATACATACCGATGGGACAAGATTTCGATTCTCTAATACGCAAACCGAAAAAAACCCCATCAATAAACAGATCCAATTCTATACAGAACATGAGAAACATAATGATACATATATTACATCAACCCAACGCTTAACCGCATTACTCATCCAGGTTCCCGACGTTGGGACCTCTAGGCTTTTCACTGACCAGATCGACCCCCCAACTCCACAGACCCCTCAGCATACCCTTGACCTTACCCTCGACCTCCTCCTCCGGGACCTGGATGGCGGCCGCACGCTCCTCGACGTCGGCACCGAGCTCGAAGCGGCGCATACGTCCGGCGATGCGGGGGTCCATGGCGAGCGGGGATATCCATATCTTTTCCTTGGGAGGCCGGGCAGGCGTAGCGGTAGCATCCCCTCCCGTGCTGTCGGTCTCGACGGGCCCGTCGGGCTTCCAGACGCTCTTGGGCCAGTTCTTCTCCTCCCCCTTGAGGATGAGCTGCTGCTCGTACTGGGACTGGCCGTCGTCGGTGCCGTCCCGGGGCACCTCGCCGGCGTCGATGGACCGGTACTCGCGCGAGGCGGCGTAGCACACGGCCGCCACCTCGCGGCCGATGTCGTCGGCCAGCTTGCGGCGGTTGAGGAACCAGCCCAGACGGACAAAGGTGGAGCTGAAGCCTAGGCGGTGAGGGAACGCGATGGTCGCCGACGGGGACAGCTCGGCCGGGATGGTGGGGGGCAGGGACGAGGCGGCGTAGTCGGATGGGGAGTTGTACGGTTGGGGCTGGGGGGGACGGTCCGACTTTTTCTCGGCCGCCTTCTCCTTCTCCTCGGCTTCCTTATTCTTCCGATCCTCGTCTCGGGGCTGCTCGGCGTCGTCGACGACGGCCTTGGGTGCCTCGACAGCAGAAGCAGAAGAAGAAGCAGGAGGAGCAGCGGCCGCAGCAGCAGCGGCGGCGGCGGCGGCGGCGGGCATCTCGGGCTTGACAGGCGCATCCAGGGGACCGAGCCAACCCTCGTGAAGGCCACGGACGTACTCCTTCCAGGCGTGGCGCCCGATGACGACGTCGCCCCGGACGCCCTCGTATTCGGGCAGGCCCATCTTGCGCCTCATCTCCACGAGCTGCGACTCCTCGGTGGGGGCGACGTCCTCGCCCGGCCTCTCGACCTCCCTCCTGGCGCGGCGGACCTTCTCGGCCACGGCGGCGCGGACGTCGCCCTGCTGACGGCCCTGGACGAAGTCCCAGTCCAGCCCCGAGGCGGCGAGCACGGGCTTGACGTACTCGATGTAGTGGTCCTGGGCGGCGCGGATGCCATCGCCCGGCGGGCTGGCGAGGTACACGGTCAGCTTGCGGGGCAGCTGGTTGGCCGACGAGATGGTCTCCTCGGCCAAGGGGGACACGACGCGCCGCCACTTGGCCGTCGCCCGCCTCTTCTCTCGCCTGTCGTAGACGATGGCGGACGCGAAGGCGATACCCACGCCCCAGAATATCAGCCAGTTGCGCGATGGAAGCTTGCGAGGCAGGTTGGGGATGCCCATCATGCGCAGGGCGGGGTTCTGTGGTTTCTGGGCGGCCGCCGGCGCGGCCGCCGGCGCCGGTGACCGCGTCGGTGACGGTTCCACTGAGCCGCCGGTTGGTGCTGATTCCGACGACATGGTTATGATGGTTGATTGGGAGGGTCGTCGTTTGCTGTCGGGGAGAGGTTGGGAAAGTGCAATCCCTGGTTGGTGGTGGTGGTGGCCAGGGGAGATGAGAGAAAAAAAAAATACCTACATACATATATGGTAAAGCTAGCTTGGTCGGTGCGATAAGATAAGAAGAGAAAGAAAAAGAAAAAAAGTCCGTGCAGCGGCTCCGAGCTCCGTGTACGGAGCTTGAGCTTGGTGCGTAAGGTGCTATATAGATCTGGGCAGGTCTAGATTCAATCGTAGGAGTATTACTATCCTGGACCAGAGCATGTATTCGATGCTATCTCATGGAAACACTGTACTCGTCAGACTTCTTTGTCTGGCCCATGCCATCTTGGAGGGTTCTGCCAGCTGAGCTTTGAAGTCTCCTCCAGCAACAGGTGCCATCTATCGTATGCATTGTATATGCGAATTGCTGTATATATGAATTGTTGTATATATATGAACGATGAATAACTGAACCGAGTCAGTGAGCTTGGTTTTTTCTCTGTTTATTATTACTCGGACCGAAGGACAAGGGGAGAGAGAATAGAGAGAGTAGAGAGAGAGTAGAGAGAGAGAGTAGAGAGAGAGAGTAGAGAGAGAGAGTAGAGAGAGTAGAGAGAGAGTAGAGAGAGGGAAGAGAGAGGGAAGAGAGGGAAGAGAGGGTAGAGAGGGAAGGCTTGGAAGAGGAATGAGAAGATGTTTGTGCCGCGTACATGCCGCCATGCCATACAAAACTTCTATCCCGCGTCGTAGGTTGATGTACTCGACGCCACAACGGACAAGGAACTTGGCAGGCCCATATGTTTCTGCATTCTTTACTCGACGCGGGGGAATGAAGGAAACGAGGGAGACCGACAAACAAAGGTTCATGGTGTGCGCACTCTACGGAGGGCACGGCGCCAGGTCCTGGTCATTCACCCCTGCCACATCACCGTCTGCTGTTCTCGTCTCGTGGTAGGCATCTCAACCGCCGCGACGGGACGATGTGACGGGACCGGAGGAGATGCACGGTATTATTGTATCACATCGCAAGTACAGAGTACATGATACAGAGCAGTCGTGCACGCTTCCAAGAATCCGGACTGCGTTTCTTATAACAATAACAACAACAATAACAACAACAGCAATAACAACAACAGCAATAACAACAACAACAACAACAACAACAACAACAACAACAACAACAACAACAACAACAACAACAACAACAACAACAACAACAATCATAACCATGATAATGATAATACTTCGTACATGCGTACGGGCACTCGAGACAAGCAGGCGCTACCAGTTCCGTCCCGCCAACACGATGGACGGACTGGGCGGCTCCAGTGTGCTGAGAGCGGACCGCTAGGGCGCTGCGATACCGCTATAGCTAGACCACCTGGGCACTGTACGGCTACGCGCATACCTGCCACTCAACCATTGTACGGGTACAGATTACCTCGGGCGGTATCACTCCCCTGATGTAGCACACGCGATATTACAGGACGCTACAGTGGACGCCCCTCCACCTTGAGCCCTCCACCACCTCCCCGACTCCTCCCCGGTCTCCCCTTGCCGGGTGGCCTGTGCTGCGCTTCGCTACCGCTGTTTGTCTTGTCCTCTCAGGTTCCCGCGAGCCCTGTCAGTCCCTTGTGTTTTGGTACGGGCACACCACTGTACGCATATCACCGTACGACTACAGGCGTCATCATCACGTTGTTAGCGTGTGTGCTGCTGCTGCTGCTGCTGCTGCTGCTGCTGCTGCTGCTGCTGTCAACCGTTGATTGACCGGTCTGTGCTGGTATAATATATTACCATTGTCGTGTGTGTGTGTGTGTGTATGTGTGTGTGTGTTGTGTGTTCTGTAATACGGTGTTGGTGTTGACTTGGTGGGGGAAGGCACAACCCCCCTCAATTCTCTCTATTCGCTCTTGCCTCCCGTTGCCATTTTCCCAGCTTCTTAGTACGGGCACTCGTAGCTCCCCTTACCCCCCCCCCCCCCCCCCCTTGCTCTATATTATTATAATCAGGGGAGACACTCCATCTCGACTTCCTCTCCTCCTTATTCTACGCCGTGATCCTCCTCTTCCCTTCCGTTCCGGCATGTCAACCTCACCTTCCTAGTGCTGTGCATCCCTGTCTCCTCTTTTTTTTTTTTTGCCCCATCTTGTCTCCTCGTGCATGTCTCGGGTGTAGCACATCTGCAGCCACTGCCTACGCCCCGCCCCCTCCTCGCAGTCGGCCATCTTGCTTGACCGCTGCCACTCTCTGCCCCTTGATTCCCACGCAGAGAGCTACTGAGCAAGAGTGTACTCTGTAGAGAGCCATCTAGCAGTGCTTGCATCTCGTCTTCACCTCCGACCCCATATCGCCTTTCTTTCTCGCGAGTACGAGAAGTATTACTCCTTCTCCCCAACTCTCCTTCCCCCGTGGCTGGTCCCCCGCCGCCCCGCGCCCCCCCTCCTGATACACCACACCTACTCCGGCACGGACGAAGAAGAAAGAAAACCATCATGGACCCCAACAATCGGTTGCACCTCAACTTTGACAGCAACCAACAGAGGTTGCCTCTTCCCAACGACCGCGCCTATCCCACCACGCCCTCGACCTTTCCCCAGCCCGTCTTCCCCCAGCCTGGGAGCCAACAAGCCGGCGCTGGCGGTCTGCACCCTCAGCCGCAGCAGCAGCCGCAGCAGCAGCAGCAGCAGCAGCAGTATGCCGCTCAGGGATACTTCTCCCAGCCTCAGTACCAGCCTCAGTATGCCGCACAGCAGCAGACCGCCGACACCCCCGCCGCCTACCAGCCCCGGTCCAATACGCCCGGCAGCGACCCCAACACCGGCCTCGCCCACCACTTCTCCCACCAGAACCTAGGCGGTGCTGCCCCGCGCAACCCGGCCTACGCCCGCAACCCCTCTCCCGGTCGCCGTCCGCGCACCTCGGGGAGCAGCGGTCAGCACCCCGCCCAGTCTGGGTACGGCTCCACGCCTCCTCTGCCCAGCCAGGGTTCCGGCTATGTCAGCGAGTTCCAGCAGGCTCCAGAGCGGAATCCGGACAAGTACGGGACCAACGCCAACGGCAACCAGAAGAAGGCCTCCCAGCTGGCTGCTGATTTCTTCAAGGACAGCGTCAAGAGGGCTCGCGAGCGCAACCAGAGGTAAGTCGGCTGTTCGAGAATCTACGCCACTGCCCCCGACCCCTGACGCATATGCTGATGTACCCTCCCCCCCCCCGGCGCAGACAGAGCGAACTCGAGCAGAAGCTCCAGGACCCCAGCCAGAGCGCTGCCAGGAGGGAGCAGCTGTGGTCCAACGCTGGACGCAAGGAGGCTCAGTACCTGCGCTTCCTCCGCACGAAGGACAAGCCCGAAAACTACACAACCGTCAAGATTATCGGAAAGGGTGCCTTTGGCGAGGTCAAGCTGGTCCAGAAGAAGGGCGACGGCAAGATCTTTGCCATGAAGAGTCTGATCAAGACGGAGATGTTCAAGAAGGACCAGCTGGCTCACGTTCGATCGGAGCGTGACATTCTTGCCGAGTCCGACAGTCCCTGGGTCGTCAAGCTGTACACCACCTTCCAGGACCCTTACTTCCTCTACATGCTCATGGAGTTCTTGCCCGGTGGCGATCTGATGACGATGCTCATCAAGTATGAAATCTTCTCCGAGGACATCACCCGCTTCTACATGGCCGAGATTGTCCTCGCCATCGACGCCGTCCACAAGCTCGGCTTCATCCACCGCGACATCAAGCCGGACAACATTCTCCTCGACCGTGGTGGCCACGTCAAGCTGACCGATTTCGGTCTCTCGACGGGCTTCCACAAGCTCCACGACAACAACTACTACCAGCAGCTTCTGCAGGGCCGGTCCAACAAGCCCCGCGACCGCAGCTCCGTCGCCATCGACCAGATCAACCTGACGGTTAGCAACCGCTCCCAGATCAACGACTGGCGTCGCTCCCGCCGTCTGATGGCCTACTCGACCGTCGGAACCCCCGACTACATCGCCCCCGAGATCTTCACCGGCCAGGGATATTCGTTTGACTGCGACTGGTGGTCCCTGGGTACGATCATGTTTGAGTGTCTTGTGGGATGGCCGCCATTCTGCGCCGAGGACAATCACGACACCTACCGCAAGATTGTCAACTGGAGGCAGACGCTGTATTTCCCCGACGACATCACGCTTGGTGTCGAGGCGGAGAATCTGATTCGAAGGTATGGCCTCTCCCAGTTCCTCCCTCCATCTCGACCTCACTCTTCCCCTTCCCCTTCCCTCCTTAGTCTACATCCTGCAGAGAAGACTGGCTGACACTCCATAGCATGGTCTGCAACACAGAGAACCGCCTCGGCAGGGGTGGAGCTCACGAGATCAAGAGTCATTCCTTCTTCCGCGGCGTCGACTTTGACAGTCTTCGACGCATCCGTGCTCCATTTGAGCCCAGGCTGACGTCCAACATTGACACGACCTACTTCCCCACCGACGAGATCGACCAGACGGACAATGCCACGGTGCTCAAGGCTCAGGCTATCCAGCAGGGTCGTACTGGTCCTGTCGAGGAGTCTCCCGAGATGAGCCTGCCGTTCATCGGTTACACGTTCAAGCGCTTTGACAATAACTTTCGATAGGCTTACGATGACGGTCTGAGGGATGACGTGATGACGGGATCATGAGATACCAGGAGATGTGTGTGTGTTGGGGGGGGGAGGGGGGGAGGGTAAAACAAAGGACAATAAAAATACATCAAAAATAGCTTCGCACATGCGTACGCACGATCAAGAAGAGACTGTCGACTTGTATATGTGTTCATCTGAACAGGCCTGGATGAATGGCAGACACCATACTAAGGCACCATGCGATCTATGCGCGTACTCGGCAAGATGCAACAGGAAACGGATCAATGTTTTGAATTCAACTGGCGGCTTCACGACGTGATTTTGAATCAGCAGTTTCCAAAGACAGAGAAGTTCAATTAACGCCGTGCTATCTGATACATGATTCCCTCGTATGTACGCCGTGGCAGAGACAGGTGTTGGAGCTCAGTGATGTGGTGGGGTTATCATCAGGTTTGAATGCCACCGAGCATAGCAGCATCATGCCCTTGCCATATTAGCAGGAGCGGCCAGGCCGGGAGCAGCATTATACCTCTCCTCCCTCTCGGTCATGAACATGATCTGGATCCAGTACTCCTTGGCATCCGGGTCCCAGAAGTCGAACTGGCGATCGTCACGCTTGTCGAGCTCCCTGGCGGGTATCTTGAAGGCGACGGTCTCGTAGGGCTCGGCGGCGACGAGGAGGTACTGGTAGTTCCTGTCGGGGTCCTCTACGCGCTGCGTGAAGGCGTTCATGACCTGCCACCTGGGCGGGTGGCCGCCGGGGATGGCGTCTGGGTATTGCAGCTGGAAGAGCAGGCCCTGCTGCCGGGAGACGGGGTCGCGGATCTTTGTGATCTTGTAGCCCGGGCGGCCTATCTTGATGGCGTTGCGGCGGGATTGGGCCTGCTGCTGCTGCTGCTCCAGCAGGTTGCGCTGGGAGGACGAGGACGAGGAGCCGGCGGTGCGCTGCTCGCGGGCGGCACGGCGGGCGAGGTTGGTCTGGTGCTTCTTGCCCTGGGTGTGGGCCAGGTACGAGCCGTCGTTCTGGTGAACCGTCAGGCAGAGGCGGCACTCGAAGGAGCCGACGTGGTTCTTGAAGAAGTAAGGGTCGCGGTCGAGGTCGATGGTCTCGAGGGCGAGCTTGCGGAGGCGCTCGCGCCGGTCGGCGTTGGAGGCCGACTGCGAGGCTACGCCGCCGCCGCCAAACTTGGAGCCAGCACGATTCTGGTAGTCCATCTTCTTGATTTCCTCTGTTTCTTCTTTTCTTCGTCTTCTTTCTTTCTTCCCCCCCCTTTATGTGTGTGTTTTGATGGGGATGTTGATTCGGGCTTGTCTGAACGTCATTGGCCTTGTTGCTGGCTGACGGAATTGCGCGTCGGGAATATCTTCGGTTGAATTGGCACGTGTATCATTATTATTACATAGTAGCAGAGCGGAGCGAGAAGAGCAGCCTCCCCCTCTGGTCCCCGGAACAGATGTATAGACACTAGTGTAACTAGGCTGTCAAGAAAACATGTAAATTCTATATAAATATATATAAACTAATGCATAGAGCATTCACTAGAGAGTAAGTGTTTGCGCGGAGTGCTTTGTATAATATCGTGTGATGTTGACCAGAGAAACAAAAGTACGTGCTGAGTAATTCTGTATACATTGTAATCTGTACAGATTATACCGATGTAGAGGAAAAAGTTTCTGGTGGACTAGGCGGTGAGGGATTGACGGGCAGAATCGACATGCCACTTGAATTTTTACTCCAAAAATTTTGGTTTCCACCGCCACATTAAGCGTCGAGTTCTCGAACAGCTTTTTTTTTTCTTTTTTTTTCTCCTGCTCATTCTTTCAAGATCTTCAACATCCTGGCCGTCAAGGACAGAGGCTGAACAAAAATGGCGGGAACGATCAATAATCCGAAGAGTGAGTTTGTCCTTCTTTATCCGACGAATTTAGAGAGAAGAGGGGGATGGGAGAGAAGAAAAGATGAGAATAAGGGCAAAAAGAAAACTATAAAAAGAAACCATAAAAAAACCAAACGAGAAGAACGAGAAGAAGAGAGAGAATAATAGAAAACTGACATTATACAGAACCCAAGTCCAAGCGCGGTACGACGCGTCTTCGCCACAAGATTCAGAAGGCCTCGGCGTCGAAGCAGAGAAAGGACCGCAAGTTGGCCAAGAAGAACCCAGAATGGCGAACCAAGCTCAAGAAGGACCCGGGGATTCCCAACCTGTTCCCCTACAAGGAGAAGCTTCTAGAGGAGATTGAGCAGAAGCGTCTGAAGAAGATTGAGGAGACGCAGAAGAGGCGTGAGATGGCCAAGGCGGCCAAGACGGGTGGTGATGCCACCGCAGAGCGGCCCGCGGCCGAGGACGGCATGGCGGATGAGGACGACGACGACGAGCAGGACGAAGACGTGGAGGGCATGGATGACGACGACGACGACGGCGGCGGCGGTGACATGGACGAGTCGAACCCGATGGCCGCCTTGATCGCCAGCGCCCGCGCGGCGGCGGAGGACTACGACCGCAAGCTCGGTGACGACCGGGACAGGGACATGGACTCGGACGGTGCGGCGGAGGACTCGGACGACGAGGAGGTGCCGGTCGGCGCGCAGGCCCTCTCGCGCAAGACGTACGAGAAGGTGTTCAAGCAGGTGGTGGAGCGGGCGGACGTGGTGCTGTACGTGCTGGACGCGCGCGACCCGGAGGGCACGCGGTCGCGCGACGTGGAGCGTAGCGTCATGGCGGCGGCGTCGGGCGGCAAGCGCCTGATCCTGGTGGTCAACAAGGCGGACCTGGTGCCGCCCGCGGTGCTGCGCGGCTGGCTGACGCACCTGAGGCGGTACTTCCCCACGCTGCCGCTGCGTGCCGCCTCGGGCGCGTCGGGCGCGCACAACTTCCACCACGGCGGGTCCAGCATGACGGTGCAGGCCACGTCGACCGCGCTGCTCAGGGCGCTCAAGAGCTACGCCGCCTCGCGCCAGCTCAAGCGCGCCGTCTCCGTCGGCGTCATCGGCTACCCCAACGTCGGCAAGAGCAGCGTCATCAACGCCCTCCTGTCGCGCATGGGCGGCAACGGTAAAGGTGCCGGACCCGCCAAGGCGTGCCCCGCCGGTGCCGAGGCCGGGGTCACCACGTCGATTCGTGCCGTCAAGATGGACAGCAAGCTCACCCTCCTCGACTCGCCCGGCGTGGTATTTCCCTCGTCGTCGTCGTTCCCATCGTCCACCGGCCACTCGGGAGGCAGCCTGGTGTCGCTGCGCAACGCCGCCGACGCACACGCCCACCTCGTCCTGCTCAACGCCCTGCCCCCCAAGCAGATCGACGACCCCATCCCCGCCGTCAGCCTGCTCATCCGTCGCCTATCGGCCGCCTCGCCCGAGCTCCTCCAGAAGCTGACGGACGTATACGACATCCCCGCTCTCATGCCCAGCCGCTCCGACGGCGACGTCACCACCGACTTCCTCGTCCAGGTAGCCCGCAAGCGTGGCCGTCTGGGTCGCGGCGGCGTTCCCAACCTGTCCGCCGCTGCTATGACGGTCGTGACCGACTGGAGGGACGGTCGTATCCAGGGCTGGGTCCAGCCTCCCGTCCTCGCCGTCGCCTCGTCCGACGACAAGAGCAAGAGTTCTGCCGCCAAGTCCTCTGCCGTCGACGACGATGCCGTCGTACCCGATCAAAAGGAGATTGTCACCGAGTGGGCTGCCGAGTTCAAGCTCGACGGTCTGTGGGGTGATGATGGCGATAATACTGATGGTGACGCTATGCAGGAGTAGGGGGAAAAAAAGGGGCAAAAACAAGGGGGTGGGTGGATGTCTTGTCGGTACGAAAAGATATGGAGAAGACAAGGAAAAAAAAAGTTGCCATTTTTCATTCGGGTTTTATATGTACGGCGTTTCTCGGTTCTTTTAGTTTGGCACCTGTTTTTTTTCTTATAGATAGAGAGAGAGGAAGAGAGGAGAGGGGTGAACTGGTTCCTAGGTAGATGAATAAGGGAAGGGAAAAAAAAACAGTCATGCTAACTTGTTGGAATATCCCTCTCTCCTCCCATACAATCGTCATAACGTAGAAACTAACAGCACGTTGGTCATGACAGAGATGTTACTTTTTTAAAAAAAAAAAAATTTTAAAAAAAATAGGATGATAAAAACCTCACGCACTTATGAGCTCCATCTTGACCCCCCTCTTACCCGTAGACTCATCCTTCTCATCCATAACCTTGACCTTGACTTTCTGGAACAGATCGATACTGACGGTTCTGGATCCAGACGTGGTGAGACGGTAGGCGTCCTGGTCAAATGTGCTCTCGGGTTCGGTGTCGGCCAGGTCGCGCAGGCGGATGAGGCCCTCGATGCCGAACCTGGGGACGAGGACGACGAAGCCGTTGCTGAAGACCTTGATGACAAAGGCCTCCTCCTCGGCCACCTTGCCGCGCAGGGCCTGGCCGACGTAGTAGGATATGCTGGCGCGGCCGGCCATCTGGGCGTTGCGGTGGCGGACGTTGATGTTCTTGCAGACGGCCTCGAGGCGGCCGCGGCTGCGCAGCGAGGGGTGGACGGCGTCGTAGCCGATGGCGGCCGCCAGCTGGCGGTGGGCCACCAGATCGGCGTACCGGCGGATCGGCGACGTGAAGTGCGTGTATATTGGCGAGGCGAGGCCGTAGTGGCGGAACTCGGGGTACGACTGCGTGCCCGAGCAGAAGTACTCGGCCGACATCATGCAGCGCGTCGCCATGATGCGCACCAGCGTGTTGAAGAAGGGCTCGGCCGGGTCGACGCAGCCGTCGAGCGAGTCGGCCAGGGCCCGCGACGAGTCGCACCGCAGCTCGAGCCCCCGCTTGACGCGCAGCTGGTTCGACAGCTCGTCAAAGTTGGTCTTGGGCGGCGCGCCGTGGCGCCGCAGCATCGCCGTCTGCGGGAAGGCGTCGTAGATCTTGGCCGCCACGCTGACGTTGGCGAAGAGCATGAACTCCTCCACCAGAGAGTTGGTGTCGAGCAGCTCCTTGGTCTTGACGTCGATGGGGTCCGACGTCTCCGATTCCATCTGCACCTTGACCTCGGGCGACGACAGGCTGAGCGCGCCCGCTTCCATGCGCTTCGCCCTGAGCTTCTTGGACAGCGCGAGCAGCATGCGCATCGCGTCCGTCAGCTCGTCCGTCTGCGACGGGTCGTCGATGCGCAGCTGTGCCTGCTCGTAGCTGAAAGCCTCGCGGGACTTGATGACCGACTTGGTGAAGCGCACGCTCACCACCTCGGCATCGGGCCTCACCTCCCAGATGGTCGAGAAGGCGAAGCGCTCGACGTACGGCTTCAGCGAGCACAGGTCCGTGCCCAGGAGCATCGGCAGCATGTCGATGCGCTTGTCAACCAAGTACACCGTCGTCCCGCGGATGCTCGCCTCCGTGTCCATGGCGTTGCCCGGCTTGACGAAGTGCGACACGTCGGCGATGTGCACCCCGACCTCGTAGTTGCCGTTGGGCAGCTTGCGCGCGTGCAGCGCGTCGTCAATGTCCTGGCAGCCGGGCGGGTCGATGCTGCAGATCAGGAGGCCGCGGAGATCCTCCCTGTCCTTCCATCCTGGGTCGTCCGTGTTGGCCGGCACCTTCCAGCCGTGACCCTCCTTGGGGAGGCAGTCGAGCACCGTCTTGGGGAATGGTCGGTACTGCACGTCCCACTCGAGCAGCAGTGCCTCCGTCTCGGCCGCCTTGGTCTCGAGCTCACCGAGCGACCGGACAAAGTGGCCGACGGGGTGGCGCGAGTCGCGCTCCCACGCGTCCATGGTCACCAGGAGACGCTTGCCCAGGAGCTCGGCCGTCTGCCGCGTGCGCAGGCGGATCTTGGGTATCTTCCTGTCCATGGGGACGAGGAACACGCTGTCCTGCCGGCGGCCCTGCGTCGACCCCTTGCTTCCGGTGACCGACGACGGATCGATGTGGCCCACATACTGTCGCCAGTTGCGCTTGACGACGCCGACAACCTTGGCTGTAGGCTGAGAGCGGCCCTCGGTCGAGCTCCTCTGCGTCTTCTTGACCTCTTCCTGCAGCGCCTTGCGCTCCTTCTCCGACACCAGGTCCTGCGACTCCTCGGCGTCGGCGTTCTCGTCGCGCGTGACAGCCTCCTCCTCGAGGATCTTGGTGGACGGCTCCTTCCACTGATCCTGCGGGAGCACCTCGACCACGACCACGTCGCCGTCGACGGCGCGGTTGATGTTCTCACGGCCCAGGATGAGCAGTGGCTTGGGGAAGGCGGGCACCTTGATGGAGCCCTCGAGGTAGTTGTAGGGCGAGACGTTGAAGATTCCTTGATGCAGGAGGCCGGACTTGACGCCCGTCATCATCCGAGACACGGTGAAGTGTTCCGGATACAGCATGGGGCCCGTCTTGCTGAAGCCGCCGCCGGGGGCCTGCACCTCGGCCACCATGTCGAGCAGCCTGTCGCCGTCGCCGAGGCTTCTGACGTAGTCCTCGAGCGACGAGGCGTCGAGACCCTCGGAGCGCGCCCTGCGCAGATTGTCCCGGTCGTTGCTGAGCATGACGATAGCGGGCGTCTTGCCAGCCCCGGGACCGCGTGCCAGGTGCTGCCCATACCACCTGGCTGCCTGGCGGACGGCGCGGTCGTTGCGGTCGTTGACCGTCTCCTTGGGCTCGCGGCTGACGTACGTCTCCCGACGGAACTCGTTGAAGAAGACGTAGAAGCGCTTGTCCTCGCTCTTGGTCAGGGCCAGCAGCCGGTTGTACAGCGGCAGCGACCGGTTGCGCACCTCCTCCAGGACCGTCTGCAGGATGATGACATCGTAGAAGGATGAGCTCTGCTCGAACAGGTCCATGGCGTTGAGGAGTGCGTTGGTATCGGGCATCAGGTAGTGGCCCTGCGGGAAGTCTTTGGTGCCCGCTGGCCTATCCGACAAGACAAACTGCTGGGCTGATGGCCGGGAGGTTAGAGGATGGGGATGGGGACGGGGATGGCGCTAAGGACGGAGAGAGCGTTTCGTTCTTGGGCTGACCTTGGTTGGAAGCATTCCGGGGAGCACTCTCAAGACAGGCTCTACACAGCTTTGAAGAGCAGGGGATATCGTCCCTCAGGTAGACCTCTCTCACAATCTTCTGAACTTTGCCGCTCCGCGTTGAACGCACGTAGACCTTGCTGGATATGTTTGATGCAAGGACTGTGCTGCCCTCTTGGCTCCTCTTGAGACTCCTCATCTCGGTATATCTGTTTCGGGGGCGTTGAGAAATCTGGGATCCCGTCAGCCTTGCGTTGCAGGTTTTCTTCATAAGCCTAGCTCAAGTGAAGAAAAAAAAAGGTGGTGATGATTCGGTCATCAAGATCCCACTTGATCATTTTCTTATCGATAGACTGGAGCGCCGATAATAACTGCAAGAGGTAAGCGAGTCAGTCATTATGTAAGCAGAATTAGCTAATCATTGCATGTGCCCTATCCCGTACCTGTACAGATTAGCTTGTAGGCTTGTAAGCTGCAGTACACCGTAATCTGTACTCCTCGTATGCGCAGAGAGTAGAGTATGGAGCACGTAATAGCACGTAGCACGTACTGATACGAGACAGATCTTGGTTGGCTCTTGGTTACGCCAGGTTTTTGTGCTTGATAAAAACCTGGCGTAACCACGGTTCTCCCTCCTACGGACATCGCAATGTCGTGATAATCCAACGGGGTGTTGCCTGCTTTCAACATCTTTGCCTGTAGACATGGGCGTCCCGGTGCATGTCGACTGCCGAAAGACCTGGCATTCATAGCCTGGCCAGTCGAAATCATCGTTACCACTCGGGGAAGGGCACGCGAGAACTGCCACGGATGCCAAAACGACATGTCACGGCCTCGATACCTACTACTGCCTATTGCGGCCGGCTGCATACCAATAAAGCGCAGGATGGTGTTGAATACAGGTATTCAGGCCCGACGGAGGTCTCAAGTGACGCGGGGTCTCCTGGCCTTGAGCCCTTGATCGATGCTTGGCAGAGGTTACAGTCTACAAGAGAGAATAAGAAGAAGGACAATAATAAGCGAAGCGATATTACAAGTTTCTTATTAGCCCACGTAGCCCACGTGTTCTCTTCTTCCCCTTCCGTTCCTCTCTCTTGCGAATAATGCACGGTAAAGTTTGGGGATAAAGACTTGGTTTTTTTTTAAAAAAAAATTTCAAAATAATATATATATATATATAAAAATATATAAAAATTTTGAGGCGAGGCTGAACGGCTTAGTGCAATGTAAGACGCTTGTAATATAAATATTACCGTGGTCTCGTGATGCGGAAAATCTGTGCGACGATCTGATTTGGAGATTTGAAAATTCGAAATGCATGCTGCTGCTGCTTCATCTCAATGCACTTCCCGTCAGAAGGGGAGAAGTTGAAGCGAATCATGATTTATAGAGAAGGAGATGAGAGATGAACGGCGCTGCACCCGGCCTATATGTCACGTAGTATATTCGGATGACCCGGATGAGACGGGATGGAAGGACGAAGAGAGACATGCCGGATCAAAAGTTCCGCAAAGCTTACAGTCCCTCTGCTTTTCATCCTTCCTCTGCAAGGGAGAGAGCATATGGGGTAATCAGCAGGTAAATAAGCAGCTCTGCATCATCTATTCTAGTTACAAAAAAAGGAAAAGAGAAGAAGCAGAAGCAGAAGAAGACGAGGTCGCATTGGACCGAAAAAAACCGTCGGGAATGCGGCTGGGGCATCCCATGTCTGTGCATCGTGACGGCGAGAGGCAAGCAAGGACGGCAGCACCACGGTCGCTGCGTGTCTTGGATCTATGAGTTACACGTATTGTCTGGAGGCAAACCGCGCAGTAGACTGATTCCTTCCGGTACTGGTGAAATTGTAACTGATATGTAATAGTAATAGTAGTGACAGAACAGAAGCAGTACGGGTACCATAGCATCATACATGTTGAGTTGGCCAAGAGGACCGGCCGAGACAAGACGAGATGGAAGGCACGTTCGGAAGCAGGCGGGCGAGCTGTGCTCTGACGACGGCCCCGATACCATTGTATGAGCAACGAGTGTACTATCATGTCCGCATTGCTGGATGAACAGGCATCTCCCACCATGATTGGTAGAGAGGTTGTGGTGAAACAGGGAGGGCCCAAGGGAGGCATGAGACCGGCATCGGCGGCCAATGTCAGAGAACGGACGGCAGATGTCGGTATGCGACGGACAAGACATGTATGCTTTTCTCCTCGGTCTTCTTCTCCTTCTTCTTCTTCTTCCAATTCCAATTTCTTTTCTCTTCCTTCTTTGTCTCCTTACATCCGGGCTCCAAAATCCCGCCGGTCACCTCGCAATACACGGGAGCTTATACGAGTACGCATGTTATACGGAGCAGAGCGTATATAGGCCTGGCGTCACATGGCATTGAGTGGCGAAGACGACTGCGAGTATCACAGGCGATGCAGGATGGACATGTATGCCTATGAGTCAGACATCTATCTGACTTTATCAACCATGAGTCTACACGGAGACAATATAAACAGAAAAGGTTCAACGGTTCAACGGAGAGAGATGAAGGAGAGCATGTCGCCGGTAGAGTTTCAATGTTATCTGTACGTTAAGGAGCTTTTTTTTTTTGGGGGGGGGGGAGGCTTAGTCGAGAACAAAAGCTCTACCACAAATGCTATCCCCTCTCCCATTCTCCCATTCTCCCTGACGATTATACTCTGTGAAGCTTGTAGATGGGCCACATGGACAGAGACTAAGACCAGTGGCGGAGTGGAAGGGGAGATCGCTCCACGCATCTGGCCGGCCAGCTCTAAACTGATAGTATGCGACGGTGTGCGAGACAAGAGCAAACGTCATCTGATGGAGTTACGGGATGGCGTATGGGCAATGTGTGTTGTCTCACTTTTTCTTCTGCCTTTCCGTCTGTTTTTTTTTTAAAAAAAAAAAAATTAAAAATGAAATAAAAATTCTCTGTAATATTCCCCGGGACGATCTGGGATTCCAACCTGTGAAGATATAGTATCGAAACAGTTGAAGTTGAAGCAGAGAAGGGAGGGGTGGTGGCGCATGCATATCTTATGACTGTTGGTAATTCATGCGACGTAGCACCGGGGGGAGAAGGGAGGCACGGGGTTTTGGTTTATCTTTACTATATCTGCCATCCATCCGGAGAGACAGAGCTGTCATACCGAAGGACAAGCAATGCTCGTCGTATGTTGTGGCGAGAGATTTGGCGTCGATGATGAGATATTTGGGGGGAGGGGGGAGGGGGGAGGGCTTGTCCTCGGTATTACTGTGATTTTCGAGCGTTAGCTCCGTATGAAGTATTGATTGTATTACATACGTGGTCGATGCCAACACTACTACCAGGCTTCGTAGAAGTACAGATACAATGATATACATATCCTCCTTTCCTGCCCTCGATGATGGTTCACATAGTGTGGTTAGTAAAACGCACACACAAGCAGATGGTCGCTGCCTGCGCACTCCATACTCTGCAATACTCACTGAACGGTGGATCCCCTTTATTGATATGGACAGACTCTGGAGGTTGCTCCGTACCATGTATCTTGTCGAGCATCATGCGGACGTGCTTGATCTATCCGCATCACACAATGATATCGGCCATGCGGCCCCGTATCAGTCAAGATGGCATTGTCGTACACTGTGTGCATTGCAGCAATACAGGTTTTCGGCTCTCTGGCTCCCTCTCTCCCTCTCTCTCTCTCTCTCTCTCTCTATATATATATATATATATATATTTATTTATTTATATATCTATATATACATCTCATCCGCTCTCGCTGTACGGATAGAATATACAGATGCGAATAAGTTACAATACATCGCCCTCTCTTAATGCCTCTTTGGTCAATGCACATCGGTGTCGCTGTAAACAGACGGAGATAATCCGGCCAATCTCGGTTGGCCCCTGCTCCCCTACGGTACCGAGTGATATATTACAGCGTATTAGCGTGAAATTGCTTACGCTCTCTGTACGGCCTGTTGGCAGGAAATATCAACAAGGCGGCGGTTCATGTTTTATGCTGGGCAGGAATGGAATCAGACTTCAATACTGATACACGTAGTGCAGGTATGACTGAGTTATATCCGAGATCGAATCTCCCACTGGCACGACTGCTACTTAGTCAGCAGTAGCCATCGGATAATAGCGCTGAGCAGTATGCTGTCTGGTGCTGCCAGTATAAAAACCGGGACGGCCGTAAGCGGGCAGAGCAGGTTGCAATCACATCAGACTGTCCTGCTCGGCAATGGCACTTCCTATTCGTCTCGTTCGTATGAGCAGAGAAGACCAGAGATAAAAAAGAAATTAATCATGATGACAGTAGTAACGATGGTAATGAAATCTAAGAAGAAAAAGAGGGTAGAAGACTCTTCCGTCGTACCTACAAGGTACACAGTGAGCGGCAGAGTGGTACGGATAACGCCGCGATTTCAGTGCATGACACTGCTCTGCTCGTGTGCAGGTGTATCTGGGCGAGATGGGTACAGAACACGGACGGCAAGGCGTCGGGGTCAGGCCCTTCCACTTGCCTGCCACTGGCCAGTGGCCACTGGACAAGGTCTCCACTGTGGCGTGGGCTTACAGGGGATGATATCAGGTTTAATAGTTGGGCCGGACGCGGTGCTACAGCCTTCTAAGGGAAAGAGAGAGAGAGAGAGAGAGCTGCTCTCTCCAGGCGCAGCATGCTAGCCTCGGTCCGGTATCTATCTGTGTTCGTATATGTACATCCTTGCCGGAGTATGTGCGTACCTGTACGGAACGCAACATGCTGGCTGGTTTTAGATGCCCCGCTAACGGGGGGCGCGTACATGTACTCAGCACCTCGCCCGGTGCCCCTGCTCTTCCGCCCCTCCTCCCCTCCCCACCGGTCCCTCGGGTAATAATCAGCAGGGTCTGTCAGTATCGATACCTGCACTCGTGCGTCGTAGGTGAGACGTATTATCACTCGTATCTGTCTGTCTTCTTTCCGCCAGTAATCTGTATTCCTCCTCGTGAAATCTCGTCACTGACATGCTGTCCGCGAGTGCGTGGTGATATGTACGGAGAAACAATGTGCAGAGCATCTTCTGTATCCGCACTATCGATCCCTGCGCTCTCACCGTGCAGAGAGTGCGGACTCTCGTCAGTTGGTGTCATGGTGTCACGGCACATGGGACATACAGATAGAGATGATACTGTACGAGTACTCGTAATGGTGCATGACGGATCCGGCCTGGGCCGCTCTGCACTTTCCCTCTGCACTTGCCCTCATCGTTCCTCCCCCCGCACGGTCGCGTAATACATTACGGTAGCGCTCCTACGATCCTGCTAGCCATCGAAGCAGTCGAATCTCTATGAATTGCCCTAGAGTCTACCTACCTGTACGGGCATGGCTACGAATAGCCGATAACAGTAGCACCCGTACTCGTACTCCGTAACAGTACTCCGTAACAGTACTCCGTAACAGTACTCCGTAACAGTAGTGCCGTATGCTCTCGTGAACCGCCTGCATACGTACTCTGAAGAGTAGTATTCGTACGTCCAGAAGTTTAAAAAAAAAATTCGCGTGGATAATAATAGCAGTCATCCTCCTTCTCGCTGCACGAGCTTCAGCGCTACTCCGTACTAAAGTAGTAGTAATATATTACAGAGGGTTTCCGTCTGCGCAGGTGGAAGTAGCCCCGGTCCGCCTGCGTGCCCACCCTCGTAATGCTCGTAGTACGGTTACATGTACAGGCAGGTATCCGAACCCAGCAGCTACCGAATCCACTGACCGACCCGCTAAACGCTAAACACCGCCGCCGCCTTCCTTCCCACCCCATCTCCCTCTCTCGACTCTTTGCCCTTCTTCCCATCTCCACTACCTGCTCACACCCACGACACACCCACGACGGGCAACCACCCACATCCTCCACCTTCTCTCTCGGTCAACTCCTCCACCAGCCAACGTATCCGGGCAAGGCTCAGAATCCCATTTCGCTGTATTATACCAGGTCAGTCCGTTTTATGTATCTTCCATTCTGTTTTGTGCTGCTCCGACACGCACCTCACTGATCCCCTTCCCCTCCTCATCATTCTCCCCGCGTCTTTGCACCCCCTGGCCCTTGTAAACCCGCACACACCTGTTGATCACAGAAACGGCTACCCCCCTTCCCCCCCCCCTCTATTCGAAGCGTGGCGCCGTGTGTGCTTCTTCGACCCGCGTTCGCGCGTGAGTGCCTTTTATTTTATTTTATTTTTAATCTCCNGAGGAGGAGTAGGAGGAGGAGGAGGAGGAGGAGGAGGGGGAGGAAGAGGTTGAAAGAGTATGAGTACATGGTTGCATAGAAGAAACATCCTCCTCTCCCCCAAGGCCGACTCGACAAGAGTCTCTCTCAATCGCTTTCATCCCCATCCAGGGCCTCATCCCTATGGCCATCATCTTGAGTCTCGTCGCCACTAGCATCAACACGCTGTGTGTCGTCCTCCTCATCCTCGTCCTCATCGTCATCTTCATCATCCTCGTCTTCTTCTTCATCTTCTTCTTCATCTTCCTCCTCCTCTTCCTCCTCAGCATCATCTTCATCATGCACATCCTCCGTATCCGTCATTGCATCCTCCTCATCTTGCTGAGCGGCCTGGACGGCCTGAGAGGAAGGATCGACACGAATCTTCTTCGAGCGATGCTCGGATTTTTCTGTTGATTTGGAGGCATCATCGATTGATATATCAGCGTCCTTGGTGGTGGTGGTGGTGGTGGTGGTAGGAGTCTTTTTTGAGCGAGATGTGTTTCGTTTATCGGCTTGGATAGCAGTGAATTCTTTTTTTTTTGGCCCTTCTGTTAGGTTCTTATGTCAAGATGAGGAGAGAAGAGGAGGGGTGGGTATAAAAGATATACTGGTAAGTTCAGCTTCCAACTGGTCTCGGAAAAAGGGAAACTCGATATCGTCTAGAGCTTTGAATACGTCGGCTGGAAGTATCGTCCTCTTGCCAGCATTGACGGTATGTTGATTTGCGCTGGGGTGAGGGAGGGGGTGAGGGGGGTGAATATGTTAGAGAAGTTGTCGATTCTTTGCGTGTATGAGAAGACGATGGGACATGGAAAGTGACAAGATGTGAAGGAAAGGGAGAAGAAATCGCAAAGCAAGATTCGATACATACTGCGCTGCAAGATAATTCACAAATACGGTGGCACTCTTGCTCATGGCCAGGACGGCATTGCCCTGGATCTGGGTGTTGGGCGGGAGGACACCTTTTGCCAATCTGGCGATGATGGATTTGGGTAAGGAGAGGTCCTGGTGGGGGGGGGAGGCGCGGGTTTAGGTCAGGTCAGGTCAGCATTCTCTTTCGGTTCATCATCTTTTTCTTTCCCCCCTCTCTTCTTCTTTAGTATGGATCTCTTCTTCCTGTCTCTCTCTCCCCTTTCTCCTTCTTCTGCTGCCGATGCAGTTCAGGGACAGGACCCTGATGTAACCCGGGGAAGAGAAGCACACACCTCGACAGTCGTCGCGTCCTTGTCCTTCTTTCTATCAGGCTGAGAAACGACAGACGTGTCAGCGGCTGCCGCCGCCGCTGCTGCTGCTGCTGCTGCTGGTGCTGCTGCAGAGTCTACATGTTCCGATGTACTGATCCTTGTCGCTGCTGTTGCCGTCGCTGCTGGTGCTGCTGCTGTGCTTTTCGATTCTGTCGAGGGGCCAGTCGTAGTCTTCGCGACGGGACCTTCGCTTTTTCGCTGGTCTGATTTCCGAGGAGGCATGTTGAAGGCGGGGGGAGGAGAGAGGGTGATGGATAGTCTTCGTCGGTAGGCGTCTGTGTGAAATTTGGAAAATTGAGATTATCTGCTCTCAATCCTGATCGGCGAGGTTGTCGAAGTTCGCGGAGAAAGAGAAGAAGAGGGAGAAGGAAGAAGAGAGGGAGGCGGGGGAGGAGTAGAGAGAAGATTGAAGCAAGGAGTCGGGGAGGAGGGAGAAACGCGTTTTTGCCTCGGACGCGTGCTCCCCCCCCCCCCCCCCCCCCCCCCCCCCTCTATTCGAAGCGTGGCGCCGTGTGTGCTTCTTCGACCCGCGTTCGCGCGTGAGTGCCTTTTATTTTATTTTATTTTTAATCTCCACTTGCCTCACGGTGCATCGCATCGCATCGCATCGTAGCGCGCAAAAGTAGAGCAACGCAACGTTCACTCACTCCTTCGCTGTCGCCATCCTCTCCGCCCGCGCGCGACCCGTCGCCTGCTCATCATCGTCGCGCTTCACATCAACCCATACTAACACGGGAGGGGAAGAAAAAAAAGACGCCAGGACACACACACACACGTTTGCTTCTGTCGCCACGCTATTACCGGTAACTCTACAACTCCCCAAGGACTGGCCTGGGAAGGAAAGAAAAAGTTTCCCAGCACCTGGCCTGCTTGCATCTCAGACAAGAGGCGCTCAGATAGAGAGACACAGAGAAACTCTCTCTCCCGCATACATCGTCGCTACCATTTGCCGTCGTCGCTTAGCCACATTGTTGTTCGAATTTTCGCCTCTCTCTCTCTCTCTCTCTCTCTCTCTCTCTCTTTCCCTTTCCGTCTCCTTCTCTCCTAGGCCCTCAGGCTCTCGTTGCCCTCGCCGTCTGAATCTCATTCGGCTTTCATCGCCCATCTTCGCACGACCCGTCGTCGCACACCTCGACGTCGCACGCCTACCGCTCAACGTGCGCGTTTCTCTTCGCCTAAACTAATAGCCGTGACTTCGTCTCGGTGCTATATCGTCAACTGACCGTGCTTCTGTCGTTGTCGCTGCACACGCAACCTCCCGCCATCTCGCGTTGGGCGTGCGCGCTTCATCATCGCCACCACAAGGTAACCAACTTCAATCTCATTCTGTCTTAACTTTCTGTTTCATCCGTCCACTCTTCTCATCCGTCGTTGCTCCTGCTATCTCTCGCTGTCATTCTTCATTGCGCGTCTTGTTATCTCTGCCTTGCTGCCTCTCCTCATCCGCGCGCCTTGATTACCCATCAAGCGTCGCGACAATTGCTCCGGCCGGGTTCTGTGGCTGCGCTGCCGTGCGCTCTAATAGTCTACACAGTCCGGCTGCTATTGCTGTTCTCTCTCTCTCTCTCTCTCTCTCCACTGCCATTCCAGCTTCCCTTGGTCAGCCACAGGCGCCTGACTGCCGCCATTATCAACCATTAGCATTCGACCCTCCCTCTCCTCACCACCCATCGTCATCCATCCCTCCCTCCTCTCTCTTTTTCCCCATCTTATCACTGCCGTCGTCGCTGTTAAATCGCGACTCTTGCTACCGCCTTCTACCCACACTACACCCTCTCTCTTTTTTTCTTTTTTTTTTCCATCTCTTGTTCGTCGTCTCTGTTGCTCGTCGCGTTGGTCTACGTCACGTCATCTCTCCCTCCCGGGAGTGATTACGCCGCGCAACACTCCGGTCGAAACGCGCAGGTCATTCTTGACTCCTCCGCAAGAGCCGTCGACAGACACGACTGTTCTCGACTAGAGAGAGATTGAGATAGAGAGCGATTCGACTACACAAGCACAGACACAGACAGGAAGAGATAGTACGTACTTGCCGTATCACCCCAAACACTTTGCATAGCAGCAGCAGCAGCAGCAGCAGCAGCAGCACAGGGTACACCCTCAAACACACGCCTCCGCCACTGCCACTGCCACTGCCACCCACCACCACCACTACCACCATCATCATCATCTCTCTACCTGGCATTCCCCTCCCCCCCTCCCCCCCTCCCCTCCCTCTTCTTTCCCATACTCTCCACTCCTCCCGGGAGNTATATATATATATATATATATGTGTGTGTGTGTGTGTGTGTGTGCGTGTGTGTACTTGGTACGTATATATCATGTATAATACTAATGTGCATATATGATTGGAAAGAAGGGAATTTTGGTATCAAAGGAGCCGAACTCTGTAGACGAAACACACACAGAGAAAGAGAAGAAGGGGAAGGGGAGGGGGAGAGGGCAGATCAGCCGATAGCCCTGCCGATATGAGCCCCCCCATCATCCTGATCGACAGACACCCTAGGTGGATTATTCCCGCCGCTCACGCTGACGGAATACATGTGATGCTGCTGCTGCTGCTGCGTCCCGGACGTGATGGACATGGACCTCTTGCGATCGACCGAAGACTTGCGACTGCTGCTACCCGCAGCGGGGGTGACGCCGGCGCTCCTCTGACGGTGGTGCTGGTGCTGGTGGTGCACCTTGGACAGCCTGGAGGACTGACGCTTGACGGGCGGGATGAAGGCGTCGTCTCCCTGGACCGTCTCGTCCGTGAGTCCCGGGCGGGAGTTGGGGGCTCGGGCGAGCACGAGGGGCGCCGTGGAGCCCATCGGGTCGAAGCTCGGACCGCCCTCGCGCGTGCCGGGCCCCGGGTGGTGCGCGGTACCCGGGCCGCCGCCGGTGGTGGATCGCGAACGGTTGAGGGGGTACCGGTCGCCGGAGGAGGAGTTGTGACGGTGGTGGCGGTTATGCTGGCTGCTGCGGCTGCTGCTGCTGCTGCTGCCACCGCCGCCGCCGCTGCCCTGGTAGATGACTGCGCTCGGCGGCTTCTGTACGGAGCTGACGGAGCTGTTGTTCTGTCGGTGGTGACTCGACTGGCCGGGGTATTCCCGTACGTGGACTTGTTGTACTTGTCTGCCGATGTCGTCGTCGTCGTTGCTGCCGTGGTTGCTGTCGCGACTGTTGTCGTGGCGGGAGGGCGGGGGCGGGGATGGAGAGGTGATGGCTGCCGTCGTTTCCGTCGTTGCTGTCGCGAAGAAGGGTTCGACGGCCGAGGTGGATGTGGGGAGAGGGAGCGGTGGTGATGACTCAGGTATGGGTTCCTTCTCGTCGTCTCGCTCGTTGTTCTTCCACGATTCAATCTCCTCGTCGGCTATGGGCGTGATGCCCCGGTTGAAGAGTCGGAGCTTGCGGTTGCGGAGGCAGACGCCCACGGCTACGACGAGGGCGACGACTACCACGCCGACGGGGATGGCGGTCGAGAGGATTATGGTACGACGATTTGTCATTTTGAAGTCATTCCGTTTTTTTTTTTTTTAATTCTTTCCTTTCCTTTCCCCTCTGTCTGTTTTCTCTCCTTCTTCTGGTATACGAGAATATGTTAGGAGGCGAAGACAGAAGAGAGGGAGAGGAAGAGAGAGAGAGAGGGATGAAGACAAGAGGATGACGATGTATATATGTCTCTCCCTATCAGAGAAAAAGAAAGACGTTCCACCCGTAGATATCCTCTCAAAGACGGAAGAGAAGAAGAAGAGGAGGAGGAGGAAGAGGAGGAAGAGAGAGAGGGAGAGGGAGAGGAGATATGGAGACCCTGCGACGGGTGAAGCCGGTCCCACCACGGCGATAGGTATACTTATCACCCGTATAGACCGGGGGGGCGGGAAGGTCAAGGACCAGCCAAGATGGACAAGTTGTCGAAGAATGGCAAAGAAGAAGAAAGGTAACCGGACCGTAATAGAAAAGAAGAGGAAGAAGGAATCCTCTTCCGACACCAGGAGGGTGAAAGGAAGTGATTCAAGGCAAGCAAAAGAAAAAAAGAAGGAAAGAAAGGAAAAGAAAAGAAGAAGAAAAAAGAGGAAGGGGGGGGGTTTTCTCTCTTCTTCTTCTTCTTCTTCTGCCTCTCAATGATGGAACGCAAGAAGGAAAGAGAGAGAAGAGAGGAGGGAGGACCGTTCAGAGGAGATTTTGAGAGAACAAAGAGGATGAGGGGTACGATGAGGCTAGGAAGAAGAATCTCTAAGGGGGGGGGGGGGGGGGGGGGGAGGAAAAAAAAAGAACGAAAAAGAGAAGAAGAAAAGAGGAGAGGATGAGAATAATCACCAGCTCTGCTCATAATCATCAGGCATTGTTTTTTCTTTTTTTTCTTTTCTATTCTTCATCCGTCAGCTTTCACGCACACCACCTCGCATGTCTTCGCAGCGTAGCAGAGAAGCATATGCATTTGCCGGATCGCCGTGCATCTCGGGACCGTGAGCGCGAGGGAGGGGGACGGATGCAGGGCAATTGCTACTCCATCACGATTGAGATGTGCTCTACCACATTTGTTACGGTGTGGCCACCTTTTTTTCTTTTTCTTTTTCTTTTTTTTCTCTATTTTTTCTCTATCTCTCTCTCTCTCTCTTCCTCTCTCTCTCTCTCTCTTCCTCTCTCTCTCTCTCTCTTCCTCTCTCTCTCTCTGTGTGTGCGTGTACGTGTGTAGATGTGTGCGTGTGTGGATGTGGTAGACCCCCCCCCAGCCACAGGAAACAGCTGCGACGGCTGGATAGAGGAAGCTCGGAGTCGAGGGTAAAACAATGTCTTGCGGTGGGATGGGAGGAGAGTATCACAGGGTCCAGATTACACGTACATCACTCCGTACTCCGGACAATATGGAGCGTACGGAGCATCTATTCTGGCTATTCTGGCCAAGGGGGGTTTCAGAAAAGGGGACTAACAAGAGTGGAAAGGATGGAGAGCTGTCGGTGGAGTCTTGGGATACAAGGAGCAGGGGGGGGGGAGGAGGAGTGAGAGGAAGAGTGATGGTTGCCGTACTAGTCTACCCTTCTAGTAGATCAGGTTTCTGGAGTTCTGGGTAATTCGTAACTCTCTCCGTACTGTATCCTTCTCCTATACGAGTAGTCTCGTGATGATGGTATACATGCAAGACGTTGAACTATATACTGTGTCATCCGTCTCCTCTATATATCTACCTGTCTATAGATGTAGATGGATATATATAGATAGATATATATAGATAGATATATATATGTATATAGATGTAGATGTATATATATGAAAGCAATCCGTAAGACAGGATTGATCTCTCAAGAGAAAAAGATAGGAAAAGAAAAAGAGAAAGAAAACTACTCCTTCGGTCGATATACCGAGAAAGCGGCACCGAGTTGCGGATGAGCGCGTTACGAGCTGATTGATGAGCAACTTGTCGACTCTCGAGACTGCGCCGATGCATGCATGTAACTCGTAGGTAGGCAAAAGAGGCCACCCGCACCTGAGCTCAATGTTGCGGTCGCCAAAGGTCCCGAAACGTGGTCTCTCTTCCCCACCCATGCGCCATATTTCCCTGGATTGCATACATAATATATTACCACACACAATAATACAGATAGATTACAGTCATTTTTTTTCACATCATCTTCTGTGCGAGTACGAGTTGCGACTGGAGGCTTTTTTTTTTTTTTGGGGGGGGGGGGGGGGGGGGGGTTTCCTTCTCTCTCTTCTCTAACCCATCAATATCAAACACACACTTGATCTTTAGCTTGTTTCCTCGATGAGGTTTTTTTTATTTTTCTCTTTTTTTTTTTCAAAAAAAAAAAAAACACGAGTGATGATAACGATAGATAGTAGAGCCTCTCTTTTGAGAGAGAGAGAGAGTCCGTGATGACGACGGCCAGCTTCTTTCTGTCCATGCTCCTCCATGGCTGTCAGAGCTCCCGTATCGAAGCGGCGCAATGACCACTATCTGTGACAGGAGTCATCCTCTTGACTGGCCACCATGTTGCCAGGTCACCTCACCTCACCCACCCATTCGAGACACACACGCACACACGCACACATACACATACATACATATACACATGTACACATGCATATACACATGTACACTCTCTCACACATTACGCACTCTCACTCACACACATTACGCACTCTCTCTCTCTCACACACACATTACGCACTCTCTCTCACACACACACACATACGCACTCTCACACACACACACACGCACACTCATACACATGCACACTCATACACATGCACACTCATACACATGCACACACGTACACAATGCAGGCCAGAGAGTATCATCATCACACATCCTTCATGTCTAGTCTCACTCACCAGGAACCAGGAACGAGCCCCCAACCCGTCTTGATGAGTCTCGGAAAGAGAAAGAGAAGAAAGAAAGAAGAAGAGGTCACGAGGGGGGGGGGGGTTCGTGGGACCTCACAGAGATGACGACGCGTTCCTGACAAGACGTGTACGTCTTATCCATGACAGGCACTAAAGCAGTCTTAGCATGGCGTACCAAGAAAGTCGTAGCTTCATCAAGTTTTGCATCCGCTACTACACGTATATATATATATTTATATGTATTATTTATATGTACAGATTATGTATAGACCGATCACGTTCCCGCTGTATTGAAGAAAAAAAAAAAGTATAGGTACTCGTCGTACTCCCGTACCACTCGTAGTATGTCAGGTTCAGATACATACCCCTCCCCCCCCCATTCATACAAGTACTCGTCGTACCTCTCTCCCCCACCGCTTCGCTCATCCCTCCTTCGGACCGTCCATCCACACATGGCGCTTCTTGTGCAGCCCTTGCATAAGAGGCGGATGAGCGGAGAGAGGTGAGGAAGCCAGGAGGCCTAGAGCAGGAGAGCGGAGTATCACGGCGTATTACAGAGGAGGAAGGGGGGTTCCACAATGTTGACCTCCAGATTGTCTTATCAGACTGCTGACCTGTCATCAGATGCAAGGATGGAGAGGTAAAGAAAGGAGGAAGAAAAGAATCTCGGTAAGAGAAGGGGGAAAAAAAACCCACCAAGATTTACATGTATATGCAGATTACAGATGTATATGTATTTACAGATGGATATTGACAGATAGATATATACACACACATATATATATATACAGATATATATATATATATATAAGAAGAGGCTCTAATAGTCAAGTCCTCCATCTTAAAAAAAAAAGGTAATGACACATCTCAAAAAGAAAGAGAAAAAAAATTGGAAAGAAAAAGAAAAGAAAAAGACATCACAACTTACAAGTTACATCTCTCAAGACATGCGTACAGTGTAGATGTCATCGCTCGTCTAGCGGTGAACACGGTGAGAGAGGAAGAAGGAGGAAGAGAAGAGAAAAAAAGAGAAGGAGAAGGAGAGGGAGAGCAGGGAGAGAGCCGACGGGTGCGTCGTCTCTCTGCGGTGATTGATGATACATCATCAGAGGCCTTTCCTTTCCGTTCCTCCCACTCTTCTTTCTCTTCAAACGAGTAGACGAGTGGTGATGATCTGTACAGATTCTTGGGTACGAGTAGGTGTAGCAGCAGTAATCAATCGCCATCATCACTGCGGTTACCTTCTCACTCTCGCACCCTGCCTGCAGCATCATCAGCCTTGCTCCGCTTCCCAACCCCAACACCCTTCTCAAGGCCAGGGCCGGACAAGCCCAGCTCTTTCGGTCACGGCGTCAGACATTGGTGTCTTTGCGTCTTCTTCGCCTCGACGGTGAGATGACCTGCAATGGCTCAGCCGACGACGACATACATTCTCTCTCTCTCTCTCTCCCAGATTTCAACCCCCCCCCCCCCCCCCCCCCCCCCCCCCCCCCCCCCCCCCCCCCCCCCCCCCCCCCTCCCCGCCCCCGGGGACGTCAATATACATATCATATATATCTGAAAGAGAAGAAGAAGAAATCCTTGGTGAATACGGCGCTCTACATGTACCCGTACACCGTACATGTAGATCCGATCCGTAGAGAGAGAGAATCCTCTCCGTCTGGCATCTTCGGCGCACCACGTGAGGTGGATATGATTAGTCATCAATCTTTTGCCTAACCGGGACGGGTTGACGCCCGTCATTATGGCATGAACCGAGCATCGCCATCGATTCATTGTAAACTTGCTTGTGACATGATCCCCACGTCTTCTCCACTTCGTTCAAGTGCAGAGCCGTCCATCTTATCTGCTGAGACGACGTCTACCAAGAGAGACGCCTGCCTTGCGGAGAATAGAGCAGCTCGAGCACACGAGGAGGGACTGGAGCGGCGTGGAAAGGAATAGGCACAGGCTTCCCATCCGTAAAGCGCGACACTGCAGCACCTTACCCTGACGGCCTGCCAAGATCATGTCCTGTCCAGGGTCCATCTCACGAACGGATAGCTACCCCACGACCAACCTCCCTCCCCTCCCGCCCTCTTCCTACCAACCCTGCCGAGAAAGCACCGGCCCCGTCCTCGAGCCCTGGTCCGACTTCACCTCGACACGAGCCAACGTCATCCGGCGGCTAGTGTCGATCGAAGTCTTCGCTGACGGTGTGCAGCCATTCCAGAGCTTCCGCTCCCTCCAGGCCATAGCTAGCTGTAGGCGATCGCATGCATGCCTGGCCGGGTAAGGGGTGGAAGGCTTGTCTCGTCAGCGTCCAGCACAGCGCTGTTGAAGTCCCCGTCCGCGTCTTGTCCTATCCAAAGATCCGACGCTCCCCATCCTGAAAGGTTCGGCTCCTCTGTGTCCCCGACCGGGTCGAGTTCCCCGACAACCGCAAACAGCCCTCCGTGGCCAGACCGATCGGGGAGACAGAGTAGCCCGAGACGCAAGGCTACGGGACAGACCAGGTCTAGAGGCTAGGCTCGAATTTGGCTGCCTGACTGAGGGCGAAGCGATCGTCTTCCTCGAAGATCGACCGGGCTCACCAAACAGTGCTGCGTCACCGTCTGGCGCAGCCATCGCACGAGGTTGCGATGAACGGTGATTGCTACCTATAGCAATTCTGTCGGCCAAGTCCTCGCATCTACCGTACTTGCGCTCCCATCGAGGCAGCTTGGAAACGGCGAACCGGTGGTCGCGGCGAGCCAGTGTGCACAGTGTGCACAGTGGACTGTTGACTTTGGCTTGATCCTAGACCGGATTGCCACGGAGGAGGAGGGGAGGAGGAGAGGGAGGGGGAGAGGGAGGCTACCGCCGGCCCCACGACACGTAGAGGAAGGAGGATACCGCCGTGTGTCGAGCTGCCCCGAGTGGATGCCGGCCTCGATCAAGAGGACCAGATGGAACCCGCGGTAGCGATTCCCAACCGAGGAGTCAGACCGGGTGCTGCTTCGAAAGCCACAAACGGGATCCGCCAAGGAGGGGGGGGGGAGCAAGCTTCCTTGCGAGCCAAGAATAGAGAGCCCTTTTCCAGGCTGCGATCCAGGACAATAGTAATGCGTAGAGTCTCTTCTGCCTCGACTGCGGTAGAGTTATTCATTATTGATTAATTCTCCGACATTGACATTGGGGGCGGTTGTGGTAGGGTGAACAGTCAAGTTTGTCTAGGTTAATCGAGAGAATAGATGGATGTATAGAAACACACACACACACACACACACACATATATATATATATATAATGATATATATAATGAAAGAGTTTGCCAGTCCTCAATACGTGCCCGATACTTAGTATGTACATGTATATATATATATATATACAGCTGAATGCTTTCTTGTTGTTGTTGTTGTTGTTGTTGTTGTTGTAGAGCCGGTGCCATCAAAGGTCAAATGACATGGCTATGCATCAATTGCCATGGTCAATCGTCTCCTCGTCATCCCCCTTTCAATACCATTGCCATGTTCTACACAAGACGAATGGTCCATCTGTGAGTACATGTGCACCAAGCCATCACGCGCAATGCATGTACCTGTCCATGTGGAATAATTGTATTTGGCTGTCCAGAGTCAAGCTCTGCGTCGCCTCTTTATACGTGATTAACTAACTCAAGAATCATGGCTAAGCTTGCTTTCCCCTCATTAATTTCTCCTTCTTTGTGCCAGAAACAAGAAAAAAAAAGCACACACACACAAGATAACAGAATTGACTAAAAAAAAACCCCTCCTCCTCTCCTCTTGCCGTCATCGGCAGAACCCAAAGCACCGGGTGGACGGTGTGGCCATCATTAATGTGTAGGTTGAGTACACATGCTTCGCTCCGTCCGTGGTACCATCATTATCAAGGCCGTGGCGTCGTCGTCGCGGTGGGTCAAGCATCGAAGCCATGTAATGGGTGCGTCAGGTGGGTACGCAGCCGTCTCGGAGGGGGAAAGTGTGAAATGTGAATGGGCGGCGAGGGAGAGAGAGGACGGAACCAATCTTATATCTAGACACCCACAATTTCCCGTCTTGTCTACCGGTCCATGAGTCACACCTTAGACGAGAACGGCGACGAGGCCGGCGGCGACACCGGCAACGGCAATGGTGAGGAGACCGCGGGGTCCAGCGGTGGTGGCGGCGCTATCGCCGTCGTCGCTGCTGTCGCTGGTGCTGGTGCTGGTGCTGCTGGTGCTGGACGAGTCGCTGGTCTTGGTGGCAGAGGGAGTAGATTCGGCCGAGCTCGACGACGCAGTGCTGCTGCTCGCGGGGGCCTTGCTGGGAGGAACGGTGCCGCACAGGTCGCCGATGTCATCGGTGCAAGCCTCCTGACCGGTGGCGTTGCCAGTGTTGGTCGAGATACAAGTCTCGAAGAGCTGAGTGCAGATAAAGGTGGGCAGGGTCTGCTGGTAGTACTGCAGGGCCGGGGCCGAGTTGTTGCTGCCACAGGTGCAGTTGTATGAGAGATCAGTCTGGAATGTGAGCACCCTTGGTCAGCAGGCGTCGTCACATAGAGGAAGCTGAGCAGACCAGCGTGGTCGAGAGCATGACGATACTTACGTAGTCGCAGTCGTTCTCAATGTCATCCTTGTCGCAGAGAATAGTGCAGCTGTCGGACTGGGCACGGCACCAGGAAGCTGCGGGGAAGGGGAGCAGTGTCAGCGCATGGCGTTGAGATGGCGTTGAGAGGCGCAGAGCACCATGGTGGTGTCACGACTCACCTCGGGTCGACTCATCGACAGTGTTGGGGTCAATGGTCATGTTCAGAGAGCTGTCGTAGTCGACAGCCTTGACGCCCACGACGGCGATAGCGAGAAGAGCGGCGAGACGCATCTTGGGTGTGTGTAGGTGTGTGGGGGTTAGTGTAAGTAAGGAGGAGAGGTTGACTGCAGTGTGGTATCGATAGTCAAAGATGGTTGACGAAGCACCAAAAACTGAGAAGGGAGGGGGAAAGATTGGATTGACGAGCGAGAGAGGAAGAGTGAAGATGTGAGAGAGAAGTGAGAAAGAGGTGAGGGTGAGGGATGGGGTAGAAAAAAAAAAGGTAAATAAGGCACACGCACACGCACGCATACGCACACGGCGGTAGGCTGTAATAGGCTATAGCGGCAGAGAGAGCAGATAGAGCAGAGAGACCAGGTGGGGGGGACCTGGGAAGGAATCAATTGCCCAGCGGAAAGAGCAGGTACGAGTCACAGGGGTAAGAGAAAGAAAAAAACATTTGGAGGAAGGCTGGACCGGCCGATCCTAAATAGGAAATGCCAAGAAGCCATTGTGAATGGGGCAAGTGCAAGCTTGGCGAGGCCGCTCCTGCTGCCCTCGGCTCTCATGCCATTTCATTTCTCTCTCTCTCTCCCTCCCTCTCTCCCTCTCTCCCTCTCTCTCAATCTCTCTCCTAGACTCTCCTCTCCCAGACCCTCTCTATAAGGTCTTGGCCTTGGCGGCCTCAAGTCGCCGGTCGGGGGCAACCGAAGAAGCCAAAGATGGTGCCAAGCCGACTTACGGGATACGATAATACTCGTACGAGACGAGAGATTTCTGCTAATAATACCATGAATCCGACATTACCGTGCTCGTCAATTCAGTCACTCAAACACACACCCGGTTTCGTCATGTTTGATGATGCGGCAGTAGTAGGAGGAGTAGCTGTCTGCAGAGATGGGATAAGAAGAAGAAGAAGAATGAAGAAACGATACTCTCTCCCTCTCTCTCTCTCTCTGTGTGTGTGTGTATTTCCCACCACCATCACCACCATCACCACCACCATCTTCTGTCCTCAATAATAACAACAACAGAGAGGGAACGAAATGTCGGTTCCGGGTCGAGATGGCCGTGGATGGAACGCTTAGGTAGCTCGTGGCCTTGGCAACCCACAAGCCAGCGGTCCAGCGCTAACGGGGTGGATGTTCATTGCTCACAGCGCTGTGGAGACGGAAATGCTTGAGACTTGGGGAGTAGGACGAACGCCGACAGCCAGGATGAGTAGTGATGAGCGCAGCACATCTGCAACTGCCAACTGCCAGGCTTTCGATTTCCCTCTTTTCTTCTATCTCTTTCTCTTTCTCTCTCTCTCTCTCAGTCACTGATGTAGTGGTAGTAGTAGTAATACCCGAGTATCGTCATGTTGCTGATACTACAACGGGTGCGGGGCAGATACGAGTACAAGCCCTACTCGTACAGGCTACAGGCTATAGATGGCCCCTACAAGTATCAGTACGGGAGATACTCTGCAGGGGTTCTACGGACCAACTACAATTACGTCGCACACGGCCGCATCATCCCTGCTTTGTAGGTTGTTGGTGCTGTACTGGTACGATGCGGAGGTGAGAGCAATGCTACCAAGGTGTGCGGTCTTTTCTTCAACTCCTCTGTTATGAAGCCTTCTCTGTCTGTGTCTGTCTGTCTGTGTCTGTCTGTGTCTGTCTGTCCGTCTGTCCGTCTGTCTGTCTGTTTCTCTGTCTCTGTCTCATGTGTCGGCCCCCCCCTCACCTCCTCCTTCTCCCATAGCACACAGGAGGCGTCTGTACCTTGGCAACAGTCTTGGCTCAATCTCGCATGGTCAGATTCATTTGCCTTTCTTGTCTCGAGTCATCCGAGAGACCATCGTCATTTAGACAAACACTGGAGAGCAGCAGGAGGAAGACGAAGAAGAAGCAAAAGGAAAACAGAGGCTATCTATCGGTTTGACCGGCGGGAAAATGAAAATAAAAAGGGGGGCCCATCCATCGTCTTAGGCGCCAAGAAGTTCCAATGTATCATATTCCATGTCTCGGGCGACGCACGCATGCTGCCACATCCCACACCCCGGCTCGCTCCCATTGCCCATTGCCGTTTGCCATGGCAATTGGCCAATGACTCTCTGTCCGTCTGCAGACCTGTCAGTGACGGTCGTTGCCAATTGAGCAATGAGCAGCGACGACCTGTAATATCGGCTGCCCATCAGCCTCTGACCCCTTTGAAACATGTTCGGTACGTACAATGTACGGAGGACGGGTAATGGCAGCAGGTACGAGTACGTATAATCGGTACAGATTGCTGCTCTGTGGATGAAGCATCACATGCACGAGTACGCCACCAGCCTCTGCTCGTTCGTTGATGTGCTCAGACGCAGTCACGCAGGCTTCGCAGCCTCACATCATCCATCGTGTCTTTTCCGGTAGTTGAAAGGAAAGAGAGGAAAGGGAAGGTTGGGGGAAAGAAGGTCTTTTTTTTTTTTGTTTGCAACTCCTCGTAGCGGTCGAGACTGTTGTCGTCACCCATACAGATCGTATAACAGTCATCTGTAATATGTACACGTACAAGGGGTCGCGACAGTCCCGAATACAATGCTATCATCACTGTCATACAAGGCAATAGTATCGCCCATGTATGGATTACAGACGCCCATGTAATCTAATATATATATATATATATATATATATGTACATATATGCGTGTGTGCGTGTCTGTGTGTGTGTGTATGGCAATATAGAGGCTATATCGCCACCACGAGCAGCAATCTAAACCTATCAGACTACCCAAGTCCCATCACCAAGAGTTGCTACGAACAATACTCCGTAATACTATACCTGTGATACCTCGCAGTTGTATGCTGACGAGCATGTCACCAACCGGCACATCGGCAGGGAGAGAGGGACGGGGAGGAGAGAGAGAGAGAGAGAGAGAGATGCGATCACAGCCTCATTTCACAGCGTGCAGCTTCTCTGCCCTTGCTTGGCTAATGACGCGGCAATTGTTGAATGCCATTGTTGACAGGAACTAAGCATGGGATTCTCCGTTCTGTATCCCCTCAAGGCTCACACTACTCCGCATATGTGCGTGTATGTACAGATACTACTCCGTACTGCTACCATTATTACTCGCTACTCGTACTCCTATGTACCATTTATTACTCGTAGTGGAATCGTAGATTGCTATGCCCACATACACACCACACCACACTACACATACTACATAATACTTGTGTCCACGACTGACTGCTATCTTACGTAGACCGACAGGACGTACATATACAAATCCCATTCCGAATACCCGATGACCTGTGCCGCGAGATCCATCTCTCAGCCGGTAATACTAATACTGCACTCGAGGAAACCAGCTATTCGGCCTGCACACATCCATGTGTGCATCATTGGCAGTAAAGCGAGAAGAAGAGAGAGAGAGAGGCACTGGTCAAATCAAGTTGGTAAGGCGAGCGGGCGGGCGGGCGAGTGGGCAGACGAGAGAAGCAAGACAATAATGGTTCTGACCGAAGCCGTAAGATGAGATAAAATGAAACTCGGCGCCTTTCTTTCTTGTCCTTCCATCCTCTTCGTTCACAGCAACCTTTCCTGTACCGTTACTGCTGACGATAACTAGTAATAATACGGCCCGCGGGTAACAGAGATCCCCTCCCGATCATCCCACACAAACCATCCCTTGACCAACACGAGACACCCAGGCCCACTGATATACGCGGCCCCCGTACATGGGATGTCGATGCTACCGTGTACTAATGCCAGCAGTGATAATAATACTACTGTACTACCCATAGACCCGCTCGACTTTATCAGAGTCATACAACTTCCGCTTCCGTCTTGCCAGTTCACGGAGCTCAGTTTATTATACGAGTGATGTACTGCAATGAGACTCGTTTCGTCTTCTTCTCTCTCTATTTTCTTCGACGTATTCCCCCCCCTCGCCCCTCTCACCATCACTACTATAGTCATTATCTTTGCTGTTCCTGTTTTCGTGTGACGGAAGAGAATAGACAATCTCGATGCATCTACAGATTATAGTGATGTGCATTAGTAATACCACTGAATGCATGTCTGAGTTGCTGCTACATTTTATCGTAGGGACCGTCAGGATGCGCTACGAGATAGATCCGGGGCGGGGGAGGGGGTGGGAAACCTAGGCCTATACATACTGACCTTGATATTGAGGAATGTCACATTCAACTCGTCAAAGGTAAATAGTGAGGAGAGGAAGAAAACATGATCCATAACATTGGATCCAAAAGAAGACGATAATACTGATCGGCAGTGCCTTGATCCAGGGTAATCCGACGGTCGATCGACCCTGTTCCTTATCGTTATCGGCCCCTTCCCCCCCCCCCCCCTATCACGCGATGACGACTATCCAGACGTCGTCGTTGCTTCATTCTCTCATAATGCATTGACGACAACACCTCGACCGAAACTCTATATATACACCACCACACCAACTCACATGCCGCCCGCGCACGTAGCCTTCCTCTTCGAGAAAGAAAGGAGAAGAGACTTCCACTGATCCGACACGTGTGTGAGCGAGTGTGTGTGTTGTGCGTGTATGTGTGCGCGCGCAACGCGCGGAGAGAGAGAGAGAGAGGGAGGGAGGAAAGAGGCTATCATCTGACATAGCAAACCACAAGTCGCCATGGACCGACTCCCGCGCGAGCTCGTCGACGCCGTACTGCAGCAGTGCATCGCTCAGGGACCCAGAAACACCATCCTGGACCTACGACTCGTCTGCCGCACCTTCAACGTCGCTCTGAAACCATTTGCGTGCAGGACGGTGGGCATCGACTTCTCGCGGCTGAGCAGGACGAGCGGGCGGGAGAGGCCGCAGATGGAAGCGCTGCAGACGATCGGCTACCATTGCAAGAGTGTCTATGTGGACCTGATGGTCCTGCGAGATGATCGTGAGTTCTGGGCCTTGTCTAGACATATGAAAGAAAGACAGAGGAGAAGAGAGAGGAAGAGAGAGGAAGAGAGAGAGAGAGAGAGAGAGAGCTGACTCGTGTGTGCTTGTGCGTGAAAACAAACAAAAAAAGGCGAAGTAGATTTCCTCAACACAGTCTTTAAACGGGTACCTTCGATGCTTGAATTCTGCCAGACGCTGCAGACAAGATACTGCATGAACGAATCGTCGTTTACCGAGGTGGACTACTACGCGGCAGCGTCGGACGTGCTGTTCAATTGCCGGGACGTGGAGCGGCTCCGCCTCAACCTGCCCTTCCAGCTGGTGGGCCGGCACTGCACGGCGGCCATCCTGATCCTGGCCAACACGTTCAAGGCCTTCGCCAACCGGCCGGAGGAGGACTCGGCGCCGCTCAAGGTGCTGGTGCTGGAGAACCTGCCGGACATCGCCGTCTGCCACCTGGGCATGAACCCGATCGATCTGAAGAACATGATCAAGGTGCTGGGTCCGCTGGAGCACCTGGTCATGACGCTGCGGCGGCACGGCATGGATCCGCAGTGGTCCGGCCTGTTCGCGTCGTGCCTGTGGAACATGGTGGGCAACGCCGAGCGCCTCGAGAGCCTGTGCATCGTCGGCATGGATCACGACGACCGCCCGCCGCGCGGGCTCCGGCAGACCCGGCCCGAGGACCTGGCCGCCGCCAACTGGAGGGCCCGCACCCTGCCGCCACCCCAGGTCATGCTGTCCAACCTGCGGTGCCTCGAGCTGAAGCGCGTCGAGGTCCTCCCGGGCGTCCTCCTCCGCGCCGCGGAGAACTTCGGCCCCACCCTGCGCGAGCTCTACCTCAACGAGGTCTACCTCAAGGTCGAGCAGTCGGCCCTGTGGAACCGACACTCGGACCGCGTCCTCTGGGTCGGCCTGCCCAATCAGCGCCCGCCCGACGACTCGCGCTGGATAGCCATGGAGCTGCGCTGCTCGGCCCCTAACCTGCGCGTCTGCCGCGCCTCCTTCCTCGCCTACGACCACTACCTTGGCGCCGGTCTAGATGCGGCGGCAGCGGCAGCGGCGGCGGCGGCGGCGCCGGCCGACAACACCGCTCTGATCCTCCACCCGCAGACCCAGCAGAACGGTCGCCGTCCGGACTTCGACTTTGCCGACCCGAGCGGCCTGGGCAGGAGCATATCCCAGCGCTTCGTAGAGGTGGTGATGGGTATCCGGCAGCCACCGTCGCCCTCGGGGGAGCCCGTCGACTTCCTCCCCGCCAGCCCGTCGCACGACCACCTGGTGACGACGGGCCTGCGGCCGCGCACGCGACCGCCCACCGTGACCGAGTACGACACCAACGCCTACCAGACCGCCGTGGAGAACACCACGTCGCGCTGGCTGACAAAGGGCCTGGACGGCGTCTTCCCCAACTGCAACGCCGCCACGCTCGACAGGCTGCACTACATCGCCGAGACGGCGTGCCAGGGTATGAATGAGATCCACAGGCGGCGCAGCGAATGGCCTGCCGCTGCCGTCTCCGCTGCCGCGGCGCCGGGTAACACGGTGGCGGATGAGTACACGGACAATCTGGGGGATGAAGAGGCGGACTTTTCCGATAGTATGCTGACCATACCTGGGATGGGGGAGTGGGGTCTCTGATGATGATATAAACCGAAAAGTGAGAATCAACAAGACACAAAGACAACATGTATGTAATATATAATGGACAGCAGAGTGTATTTTTCTCCTCCTCCTCCTCCTCTTTTCTTCCTCTCTTCTTCTTTTCCTCCTTTCCTCTCTTCGTATTATTGTGAAGAGACAGGAAAAGATTTATGAGAAGACATGAAAAGAAAAGAAGGATGAAGAGACAGATGAAGAATGAATCATGATTTGATTGTCATGCGTCTCGGGTGCTTCTCTAGGAACGGCATTGTGTCTTTGGGGGGCTATTCTCGGCCAATGCTGTATAGGTCTGGTCTTCAATCTCAACATCGTCTTCCCCCCCCCCTCTCATCTCTTTCTTTCTATAGAATGGAATGGAAGCAATAGCTAAAACAAGATGGGAACACAAGAACGATGATGTATGAAAGAAGAAGAAGAAAGCGCCAAGCAAGAAATTACAAAAAAAAAAGAGTCTACTTTCCGTTCCCGTTGACAGCACCGACAGCCTCAGCAACAGCGCGCAAGACATCCTGCTTCAGATCCTCGGCATCCTCTATACCGCAGCTCAGCCTGACGAGGTCGTCAAAGACGCCGACGGCCTCCCTCTGATCCGTCGGGATGGCGGCGTGGGTCATGCTGCTGGGCAGCTCGACGAGGGACTCGACACCGCCGAGGGACTCGGCGAGGGTGAAGAGCCGGGTGGCGCGGCAGAAGCGGTCGGCGGCGTCGTGGCCGCCCCTGATGCGGAAGGAGAGCATGCCGCCGCCCATGGCGTCCCTGTGCTGGGACCTGGCGAGGGCGCGCTGCGGGTGGGAGTCGAGGCCGGGGTAGTTGACGGACAGGACGTCGGGGTGGGCCTCGAGGGCGGCGGCGACGGCGGCGGCGTTGGCGGACGACTCCCGCGCGCGCAGGTGCAGGGTCTTGAGGCCGCGGTGGGCGAGCCAGCAGTCGAAGGGGGAGGGGACGGCGCCGGCGGCGTTCTGGAGGAAGCCGAGCCGGTCGCGGAGCTCGTCCGAGTTGAAGGCGGCGACGCCCATGACGACGTCGCTGTGGCCGTTGATGTACTTTGTCGCGCTGTGGACGACGACGTCGGCGCCGAGCCCGAGCGGGTTCTGCACGTAGGGCGACAGGAAGGTGTTGTCGACCACGACGAGGACGCCGCCGGGGCGGTGCCGGTGGGCGGCGGCGGCGACGGCGCGGATGTCGACCAGGCGCAGCGTCGGGTTGGACGGGGTCTCGATCCAGATCAGCCGCGTATCCTCCGTCATCTGACCGGCCAGGTCGGCCTCCATCCGGGGCGTGAAGGTGACGGCCACGCCGTGCGAGCGTGCGACCTGGGTGAAGTACCGGTGCGTCCCGCCGTAGAGGTCCGACACCGAGACGACGTGCGACCCGGCGGGGAGGGACTGCAGGATCGTCGCCGTCGTCGCGCTGCCGGACGAGAAGGCCAGGGCGTGCCTGGCCCCCTCCAGCGAGGCCACGGCGGCCTCGAAGTTGGCCCGGTTCGGGTTGCCGGACCGCGAGTAGTCGTACGGCCCGACCGGCCGGCCGACCGACGTCTGCGCGAACGTCGTCGACAGCGAGATGGGCTCGATCACCGCCCCGGTAGACGGGTCGTGAGGCGATCCGGCGTGCACCGCTCGCGTGCCGAACTTGGCCGCGGGGGACGGCGCTCGCGACAGGGTGGCTGCCGGGGCTGAGTCGGGAATGGAGGGAGACATTTTCTTCTTCCCGATTTCTTTTCTCCTTCTTCTTCTCTTTCGTTTCGGAGAGGACTTGAACTTTCTCTCTCTCTCTCTCTCTCTCCTTGATCCGGTATCGTGCGTGGCGTGTGTGTTCTGTTCTTGTTATATGTTGGATTCGGGAGTGATAGAATGCGTGTTGAGAGTACGAATATATATATATATATATATATATATATATATATTGTGTGGTGGATGTGGAGCGGGGCTGGATGGCGAGGTGGTCAAAGAAGAAAGGGTGCAATTGACAAGGGGATCTCTGCCTTTTTTAATTTCTCAAGAGGGAGAGAATGACAAAGACAGAGGGGGAAAGGGAAGAAGAAGAAGAAGAACAGGGTTAGAGTATGTATGTTGCCGTGCTTATTGTGACACAGGACAGACTGCATCGGCCAGAGACGGAGAGGGGTGGAGATGGACGGGATCTTTTGCGGCCCCACGGCGGGGTGTTTCTGTGTGTGTTCTTCTTGTCTTGTTCTTCTTACGTGATGTGGAGTGAAAGTTGGTATGAGGATATGGGTATCATCGACGATGATGACAAGTCTCTTTATACTTCTTCGAATATCGTCCCCCCCAACCTCCTCAACAGTTGTGCTCGTACGAGTATGTGTAATGGATCATAGGAAGGAGAGCGAGAGAGATAATCTTGCGCAGTACAGGAAAGACGTCAACTCTACCAGATGACGCCATTATAGGCTTTCGGCCTCATACTGTGATGTGCTCAACCCTCTTGTTGCCACTGATCGGTGATGCATATGCTGCAAGGTACGCGGAGAATTTACGATTGCCATACATCGTGATCAGGGAATGTCGCCATCCTTTTTATCTATATTTTATATTTTGTCTCATCTGATAAATCTTTCAGGAAGAGAGAGAGAGAGAGAGTCTGTCATCCATCATGCATCGATCCCTGGGTCATCCGGCATCGACCTCCCATCACACACACACACACACACACACGAGTCGGACCGCGTCGGCATGTGCACATGTATCTTGTCTCTGAATGGGTGTCGTTCGTAAGTGGGAGGACGGATGATGTGATCTGTTCTCTGCCCTCTGCTGGATGATGCTGGATGATTTGAATTCATCCATCCGTCGATTGACAGGACAGAGTTGAGGAGGAGGAGGAGGAGGAGGAGGAGGAGCTGGCTGCTGCTCTCTCTCTCTGCTCCTATCTGCTCCGGCGTCTCCCGTTGTGAGGGGGGGGGGGATTTGTCATCGACATACTCCGTAGGCAGGTAAGCAGGGCAGGGTAAGCAGCAGACTCCGAGGGATCCTAACCCTAAGCACACTGCCGAGACAAGAGTCGACCCTCCATGTCGGTACGGATGCTGCAGACTACCTCTAGGATCGATCAGCAACCCCCATGGCTGCTCGTCATGAATACCGGGTATCCATCATGAATCTTGATCAGCCTCGTTGCCTCGTCCTTTCCATCCTTGTACGCGGTACCTTTGCCCTCTGACGAGTGCCTGACGACGAGTGCCGTACCTATATCCGTCTCTGTTCCCGTCGGCCGACGGGGTATAGAACAGCCCCGATTGGACAAGGTGCCCCCCCCCCCCCCAGCTGTAAAGCCAGTACGGATTACTCCGTACACGTATAGTCTGTACATTTTACAGGTACGAGCACAGCCATCCACTGGGGCCGTCCGCCGAACCACCCGCTGAATCACCCGCTGAATCACCCGCTGGACCGTCACCCGCTGGACCGTCCACTGTAACAAGCTGTATTCACTCGTAAGCTTCGGTCCTCTCGACCACCGCTCCAGTCCCCAGAGTCTCCCTCTCCATCGTGGACGGGGACAGTGGTGGACACGCCCACCCGCTGGAGATTCCCGGCCCCGTGGCCCATGTCTCTAGCGACCCTCCATCGAGAGGACCTCCCGGGGGCTTTCTGGGGGGGGGGGGGGGGGGGGGGGGGGGGGGGGGGGGGGGGGGTCTCTAGGTCTTGGGGGACTGCGCGCGCTGAGAGGCTGTGCTAGCGGGCCGCTGAACACACCCCGAGACTGCCAGGAGCACTTCCCACTCTCCTCTCAGCCCTCTGGCCTCGGCCGTTTCTCGTTTTCGACATTTGTCATAATAACGGGCTTTCTGCTAGTCACTCATTCGCGACAACCATCGACGACCGCTAAGACGAGACTGTCAATCCCCACGCGTCCGACAATCCACGACCGCCACATCATTCCATCTCCAAGGAAAAAAGAAAAAAAGAAAAAAAACCACATTGCCCAATACACCCCGACTTTCAATCTCAGCCTTATTCCTCCGGTCCGTCTCGATTCTCCTCAAGCAATAAGAGGATAGCATAAAAAAAAATAAACACACATCAACGTCACATGCTTCCCTGACTACGCAGCATTCCCGCCTTACCCATCGCCAACGCGGCCATGCTGCCGTCGCGATCCGTCTCGACTCCATTTCTCACGGTGTCCGACGCCTTCCCCTCTCCCTCGCCTCCCAGTCTACGATAAGCCATGCCGCCTCGAAGATCTCACAAGAAGTCTCGTGCCGGCTGTAGGAGATGCAAGATCCGCAAGATCAAGGTGGGACCCCCTCCTCCTCTCTCCATGTCTTGACCGACTGACCGACCGGAAATAAGTGCGACGAGGTCCATCCGAGATGCGGCAACTGCCATAGACATGGCGTAGTATGCGACTTCGAGTCGACGGACGCAGCCGACGAGCTGGCCACCATCCCTACACCCGCTGCCGGCCCGACGAGTCCCATGCCACCGCCCACGCCCTCACCCATGGCCGCCACGCCGACGACGACGACGACGACGACGACGACGACCCTCCACCTCCCCCACGATATCTTGAACGGCAGCAGCAGCGGCGGCAGCAACGGCGGCAACGGCAGCACCAACGGCCACGGCTTCGACCACGGCCAGGGCCGCAACCACCACAGCCACCACCACCCGTCACGCTCGTCACCCATGCCGCCCCCGCCGGCGCATCTGCCGCCACCCCCGCGGCTGCCCCCGGCCTCGAGCCTGCCCGGCCAGGTCGACCGGCTGATGGAGCTGCGGCTGATGCACCAGTACACGTACGTGACGTCCAAGACGCTGCTGACCAACTCCCCGCTGGCCGACGACATCTGGCAGCGGGCCGTGCCGCAGATGGCCTTTGCCGGCCGGACGTACCTGGCCGACGCCGTGCTGTCGGTGGCGGCCCTGCACCTGCGGTCGCAGTCCCCGGACGACAAGGCCCTGGTGCACGCCTCGCACGCCTACACGGCCTCGACCCTGGCCGAGTACTGCGCCTCGCTGGACCGGGGCATCACGTCCGACAACGCCGAGGCCCTCTTCCTGACGGCCTCGCTCATCGCCTTCCAGTCGGTGGCCTCGCGCATCTTCGCCAAGGACGACGCCGAGGCGGACCCGGACGACCCCAACGCGCGCTACGCCCTCCCGCTGCCCTGGTTCCACGCCTTCCAGGGCGTCAAGACGGTCGTCGCCAGCTCGTGGCCGTGGATCCGCACCAGCAGCATCGTCAAGACCGTCATCGACTCCCAGCCGAGCCTGCAGCTCGACCTCGACCCCCTCGGCCCCGGCTCCTTCTTCGGCCACCTCCTGGACGGGATAGCGGAGGAGCTCGCGCGCGAGGAGCCCCACCTGGTCCAGGCCACCACCCAGTGCTACTCCCACGCCGTCTGCGTCCTCAACTGGGCCCACAAGAGCGCCCACCCGGCCGCCACCCTGGCCTTCCCGGCCACCGTCGCCCGCCGCTTCATAGAGCTGGTCGAGCTCAAGAGGCCGCGCGCCCTCGCCATCATCGCCTGCTTCTTCGCCCTGCTCAAGCGGCTCGACAGCGTCTGGTGGCTGCACGACGTCTCCAAGCGGGAGGTCATGGGCCTCGTCGGCCTGTTCGAGCCCGGATCCAAGTGGTGGCGCCACCTCGAGTGGCCGGTCCGCATCGCCCTCTGGGACGGCGGCGGCGACGACATACCGCCCGACGTCTGGGGCGTCGACTGGGACCAGCTCGATCACCAGGGCATCCCGCACAACTGCGGAGACGGTCACGGCTTCGTCAACCACATCGAGCTCGTGGCCGAACTGATGGGCCAGTCTACCAATGACCTGCTCAGCGTCGCCACCCCGTTTACCGGCGAGCCACCGCTCACGGCGGAATCGCCGGATTGAAGGGGCTGGTCAGGAGAGGGCAGAGGAGGGACGAAGGGGAGAGAAGCGAAGCGAAGCGAAGCGAAGCGATGGGTTAGAAGACACCTCTTGAATCTTTTTTTTTTTCATGTGCATCCTGTTGAAAAACACTTATTTCTGAATAGTGGCGTTCATTTCTGTCCGGGTTAGAAAAATGTATTAACGTATACCAACATCCTTTTTTTTTCTTCTTTCTTTATATATAGTTTCTTTTCTCCCCTTCTTCTCCCCCCCCCCCCCTTTTTATTTTTTGGTCTATTGTGACTCGAATACACTTTTTTTCCCCATTTTTTTTCTTTCTGGTCTAATGGTACTTGAATACACCTTTCTTCTTCTATGAAACGTGGTTGGAATTGAATTCTTGGTGAATTTTTTTTTTTTTAACCATTGATTCTCTCTCCTCTAGACGCCCGACTCCATGCGCAGTAAAGACAAAAAAAAAAGATGACAGTGGGAGAACAGAGACAGATGCTAGGACAGCAACAGCAGAAACAGAAAAGAAAAAAAAAACAGAGGACAAATGACAGGAGCAAGAAAGAAGCAGATACGCATATACACTTTTATTGACGTATCCTCTTGGCATCCTCCTGAGCCTCGTCGACGGCGGTAGGTTCAGCAGCAGCACCATCATCCTTGTCTTCCCTGGACCTCTTGAGACCCTTCATCTTCCTGGTCTGCAGGTCGCCGAGGTCCTGCTTGCCCAGGTGGACGCGGCCGATCTTGTCACCCATGGAGTCGGTCGTGATGTTCTTCTTGGTCCTCTCCTCGGTGCCGCGGGGCTTGCGCATGGCGTCCTTGAGGGTGGCCTCGTCGGGTAGGCGGAGGCGGCCGACCCTGAAGTCCATGCGGGGGCCCATCTCCTCGACCTCGATGCGCGGTAGGCGCTGGCCGCTGCGCCTGGTGCGGATGAGGTAGGTCCTCAGGTGGATCTTGGGCTTCCCGGAGGAGGCGACGGCCAGGTCCCCGGTCCCGGCGGGGGCGGGGGCGGAGAGGTACCCCTCCTCCTCCTCAGCGGTGATGGACACCATGTACTGCAGTCCCTCGACGTCGATGCGGTCCGAGGGCTCGCCGCGGAAGAAGTCGAGCAGGATGTTCTTGGCGAGGCTGTACTCGTTGTCGACCGGGCTCTCGAAGGCGGTGCCGGCGAAGAGCACCATGGGCCGCAGGCCGACGGCGAACTTCCTGGTCGGGAACTGCGCGAGGGAGCGGAACGTGCCGGCGTCGAGGTACAGCTCCAGCATGTCGAGGACCTTGAAGCCAAAGGTGCGGACAAACGTCAGCGTGTGCGGGCGCTTCTTGCTGCTGCTGCCAAAGACCATCAGGCTCGCGTCGTTCTTCTCGCTGAAGAACTCGAGCGACGTGGCGTCGTCGAACGGGTGGATCGGGTTCTTCTTGGTGAACTTCTTGGCCAGCGGCTGACGCATCGAGTGCAGGTCCGTCATGGCGTCCTGCACCACCTGGGAGCACGTCGTACCCCGGAGGAACAGGCATGTCTTGGGGTTCTCGACCACCTTGGGTTCGCGCTTCTCCAGGGCACGCTTCGACCGAGCGTTGCGGGGTTTCCTATTCAATTGTCTCGTCAGCCATATATATATATATATAGTATTCTCGTCAAAGTAAGAATGAAAATTTCCGGAATCGTGAGATAGAAACGTACACTTGACGAAGCATTTTGGTGGTTATATATTCTCTGATGTTGCCAATATAGTAGAATTTTTTTCTGGCTAAGCGCAGAAGAAAGAAAATAGATCATGGTAACCCAAAAAAAAAGTACCTTATCGATAGAGACAATGATCGTCTTATCGATAGAAACGTCGATTATTGCCATTGACAGATCCCTCACCTCCTCTTTCCTTCTCTGTCACGTGCCCGCTCTCGTTGTCGGATCGAACAGCTGAACGATCCACCGTAATATGTTATTCCGGTCCGATCATAGCTTTTCCCTGGTAGAACGGAACACCTGTATAGTCACCATTTCTCTCATATATGTATGTATATAATATAACAACAACACACATCAATAACAAGGTCAGGAAAACATGCCTGATTTCAGCCCTTTGCCATCATTTCATCAGTGAATAGTTATCCGGATAAATCTCCTTCCGATCCGAAAGTTCAGACGAGTATTTTACCGATATTATTCCGCCGCTCAGTCTGGCACTTGTGCCTGCCTAATAGGATTGATTGGTATTATTATAGCAAAAATTAAAATAAATAACTAAATTATTACGTCGGGCGACATGCGGAGATCGGAAAACGCCTCTGGCCGGGCTGCCTCGGTATCTTGCCCCGCCAAAAGGGAATCCCCAGCCCAAAGAGAGAGAGCCGTGACGTTTCTGACAAACCAACAGTCTCCTGCTTGAACCTCCACTCTCGAGTGCATTGGTTCTCCCCTTCAATCTTCAATACCAACTCTTCTTTTTTCTCTCTCTCCTCTCTGTACCACACTCACTACCATTCGAGCTTCTGCTATCCCACTCTTCTTCTCCCTTACCTTTTTTTTTTTCTCTTCCTTTTTTTTCTTTTCTCATTATATATATCTCTCCCTTCGCATAGCCCATCACCGCCACCGTCGTCATGTCCTTTATGGGAGGAGGAGCCGAGTGCTCTACGGCTGGTAACCCGCTCAGCCAGTTCCAGAAGCACGTCCAGGATGACAAGACGCTCCAGAGAGATCGTCTCGTCGGGCGTGGTCCCGGTGGCCAGTTGAATGGCTTCCGTACTCAGAATCCCAACGCTCCTCAAGATGAGGTTTGCT